GGACGCCATAACAGAGGCTAGCCGGGACTAGTCGACAGTTATGCTGAGCAGCGGGCTACGAACGGTGCTGGGAACGGCGGTAGGAACGGCGCTAGGAACGACACAGGGAACAGGGGCAGGAACGGCAGTAGGAACGGCGGTAGCAACGGCGCTAGGAAAGGCGCTAGGAACGACGCAAGGAACGGCACTAGGAACGGCACTTTGAACGGCGTTAGGAATGGCGCTACGAACGGCAGTAGGAACGACTGTAAGTAGGAGGCGCTGGTGGCAAGCTGATGGCTTGCGCGTTGTCGGTGCTCGTGCTGCTGGTGCGTGCGCTGCTGGCGTGTGTGCTGCTGCCGCCCGCGTTGCTGGCGTGCGCAGTGTTGCCGCGCGCATTGCTGTCGCGCGGGCTGGTGCCCCGCTGTTGTGCGCGCTGCGCGTGCGTATTGGCGTGCGTAGATCGCGTGCGCGTTGGCGTGCGCGCTGCTGGGCGCGCTGGCAGGCAACTCACGGGCGCGCTAGGGCTGGCGAGCGCGCTGCCGCTATGGCTGGCTGGCGTCGCTAAGGCTGGCTGGCGGCGCTAGGGCTGGCAGGCGGTCTAGGGGCGAGGTAGGTGGCGGGCTAGGCTAGGTGACGGTGAGCGGAAGAGCGGACCTAACCTAACTAATACCATGTCAGAAACAGAATGAGTGCTCATGAGGAAGATGGGTACAAATGGTTAACCCTAACATAGGCTACCGAATATAACAGCCCAGTGTAACAAATACAACTTGACAGCAGCTGCCAGTACAATCCTCAACCGGCCGCGAAGAACCGCACCCATGACCACGCAACGCCAACAACCTATTATTGGTGCATTAGATTAGGAAAGTCTCATGAAACCAAAACAGTCATCAAAATTGATTTGATGCAGTGTTGCCAAGCCACCAACACCACGATGTTATTCACTTTGCTCATTCCGTGTAAGATTTATTTGCATATAGAAACAGCTCATCGGTTATGCTACCGTATGGCCCCGGATATAAGCGCCGTCCGTTTAAAAGCGCCGGCGCTTCTATCTGGAGCATGCGCTTATAGCCGCGACTCGATTAGAAGCGCACCCCCTGTAAAACCCTTATTTTTATAAGCGCATGCATAAATTTATTTTACAATCCTGATTAAAACGGTAACGAATTTCGAATTTCAAGCGAGTCAACACTCATTTTCAATTTGTTTGACTTTCGAAGGCTTCACTTGTTGCGCGTCCAGTCAGGATGAGCTGGCACGCGGGCAAAGAGACGTGCCAAATCTCTATGCACAGTCAGGGAATCTCCCTCGCGCGATTCTGATTCAGGACGCTGTAAAAGTTCGATTCGATTGAACTTACGAGACTGAAATGTACAACTTGGTGCGTTTAATTTGTATTTCTGTGTTTGTTATTATATAAGCGCCGGCGCTTATGGCCGATAATTACAAGCGCCCCCCTTGAAAAACCGATTTTATTATATGCGCATATGCGCTACTATCCGGAGTAATACGGTAGATTGTAGCATATAACAAGAGCAGCTCTTACAGTCAGTTCTGTTCGTGTGTGCATGCCTGCCAACACCATCACTCCTCAATTGAGTTCGCCGAGGTTTTTTCCTCACCTTCACTCAGTTCAGCCTTTTCCTTTGCGGCTTCCCATTTACCGTCCCATGGATTGAATCCTCATCAATCCCGACCTTCCTCTGCTGTTCCTGTCACGTGAGTGACTTCGATCCAGCCTGGAACGACCCAGGTTTCCGAAGCGCACATTCCTCTCTACAACGGGAGCCCTGAAAGGTAACGGTTCAATATAAGTAAGCATCGACTGCGTTTGCTCGACGTTGCCATTCGTCCTCAACGATCGTACGCTTTTCAGGTCATTCCGTCCTCAGTCAAGGCTACCTCGCCGCTGTAGTATTTTAGCAGCAAGTAGCTTGTCCCGTTCACTCAAGCCTCTTGAGCTCTTCGCCATCCTCGAGTCACCATGGGCTCCTGTGGCTTGCTTTTCCCGCTGCTCTGCGTCCTTGCCTTGTTTCCGTTTAGCTATGGCTCCGTGCAGGAAGGTTCAGTATTCACATTCAAGCTTCGCCATCAGCATACAGTTTCAGCAGATAACCGGCCTAACACCTTCGGCTCTTACAAGCAGTGGCTGGAGAAGCAGACACAGTCTCGAGCAGCGGTTATAGTGAGACGAATTCGAAAGGTGCTGATTCCTACCTGGCGGCTCCACCCGTATTACAGTGTACCTTCATTCCGTTTCGTTGCAATTAATTGTCATCTGTCGGATTATGCACAGGGAGCCAAAACTTCTGGATCTAGAAGGCTTCAGGCAGCGGGTCAGGAATCAACCCTCCCACTCAATGGAGGCGTTGAACAATTGGGGTACGTCAGTCGTCCGTTTATTTTCTAGATATGATGTATATATGTGTCCTGACACAGCGCTTTTTCAACAGGACCTATTACGTTACACTGCAGCTGGGTTCTCAGAAGGAATCACTGAACACCATCATTGACACTGGAAGCGACCTGTTGTGGGTCAGATGTACTGGCTGCGTAAACTGCCCTCGGAATACAAGAGTACGGGATCCTTTTGTCATGTTAGCAGTTTGCTTTGCATATTGGTAAAAGCCTGACTTCCTCGTTGTTATACATTTCAGGCTCGGTCGTTCAATGCTCAACAGTCAACGACTCGTCAGAGAATCGATTGTGCTGAGTGCAAAGCGATCAATGAGACCACCTGCGCTGGCCCATATCGGGCAGGGTGCGGAATCGGCTGCACGAGGCTGGGAGTTCGTGGTCGCTGCGTTGCTGGATGCGGGTAAGTACAGTTGATTGATTCACCTATAGCTTGATTCAGATGCATTGCTAACGTTTTCATAGCATCGTGAGCAGACCTAATGGCACAAGTCGCTGCAATTATGCTGTCATATATGGTGATGGAAGCTACACGGGTGGAGTCATGATGCGTGATGTCTTAACTCTCCCAGGTCGCCCAGCAGAGATATCAGCACCTGTTGCCTTTGGGTAAATATTGTAATGTTTTGGAAAGTTTGCATTCTATGAAGAGTTGCTAACCACCTGGTATCTGGTTTCAGCTGTGACTTTCATGAAGCTGAAGGGCTTCTCAAAGATCCCTTGATTGGTCTGATTGGCCTGGGCCAAAGCCCTCTTTCCATTCCTTCACAGCTAGTGCATGACGGAGTTCTTCAGGGAAATATAATCTCGCATTGTTTGGGTGGGGAGGATGGGGGCGGATTCATAACATTTGGCCCACCTCCTATGGCTGACTCGAGCATGCAGTTTGTCCCTATGGGGAATGACACCACGTACGTACCTATGCTGCAAATGTCCAGGCTGGGCCCATTTGTTCTCTCTGACATGTGTTTCAACGTGCAGGGTTTACAATGCGACGATATTCGGTATTCAGGTGAATGGTGTGGATTTACAAATCCCTGCTGACACGTTTTCTGGAACTGGTGGCATCATTGATAGCGGCAGCACTGCGCTCACGCTCCCAGAAGCAGCGTACACTCCCCTCAGAGAAGCAGTAGGTTCCCTTTAAGCTTTTCATGTCCATTCCCTTCAACTTTTCATGTCCTTTGAGTGTTATTGATTATTCTTGGGTAACATTGATGCAGGTAATCCAAGCTGTTGATGGAAAGGCCCAAAGGCTTTCTCAGGAAGAAATCAATCAGCTGGCTGGTGGGAACGTCGCATCTGTTCTGAATCTGTGCTACAATGTTTCTGCAAGGTATTTGTATTTCATGTTCTTATGGATGCCGTTCTTTTTTTGGCTTCATACTAACCATACCACTGTGTTATATTCCAGCGATACGGCGACGTTGCAGTCTGCATTCCCGACAGTGGCAATTGTGATGGATGGTGCCAACCTGGAGTTACCACCCCAGAACTACCTTTGGCTGTTTGTGAGTACCTGCGGCCCGCCTGCTACCATATGCTAGGTGTAATGTTTGCAGAGATAACATATTACTTGTTTGTTTGGTGGCCCGCAGGACAATTTGGTGTGCTTCTGTGTATACGACTCAAACAGTGTGGTGGGCCAACCAGTTACCATCATTGGAGGTAATGAGGGAAATTTATCTCTGGTAGGCATGCATGTCTTCAGGCATTTTGGCACCCTTGCTGACATGCCTTCATTTATTGTGGATGCAGATGTAGCTATGCGTAACAAGTTGGTTGCGTATGATAGAGGGGCAAGAAAGATGGGATTTCAGACCCTGGATTGTAGAACTGCATAAGCTCGATTGAATTGAAACTGAAGTGTTGTATATAGAATTTGAGGAATGTTTTTGTGAGAATTCAGTTTGTCAGTCCATACCGGCAGATTATTCGAGATGTGCTTGTGACGAGAAATTCTCAGATTTCACACGGCGGTCACGTCAAAGTCGCTGGCGCCAAATCTTCCCTGACCAGCTCACCGTATCACATGGAATGCCGTGCCGTGCTGGAGCATGACAAACAGTCTTGAGTGGCCGGTATCCCACCTATTCTGGTGTCGAATGCTTCCTAGATGAGTACGGTAGGATGGAAAATGTCGAAGTGTGGAACTTCGTGGTAAGTTCGAGTCGTAGATAGTGGCAGTCTCCGATATTCACGTGTGATCCATCTGATGCGTTTCGCATGATGGAAACAGTAGCGAATCTCGAAGCAGAGCTGTACCGCGTACGGAGGGACCGACGCTTGCTACTCTCAAACCTATTAACGTCGCTAGCGGCAACCGGCTGGGCAGACTCGGACCTGGACAGAATTAATGTGGATTACATCCTGTGATGCGCCACGTCAGGTACTGTTAGGAGCACTAACAGAAACCGACAGAATCAAACTATACCTCGTCCTTGCTTCCTCGGTTACTGTTCATTGAGTTGTGATTGCACCGAACGGCGGCTCGGCTTGCCCCAGTTATACGTCAGAGTCAGTACGCTAAAAGACCCTATTCGCTTGTTAGATATTATCGTATCGTCTCTTGATTCATCCTGCTTTCGACCTTTCAGGGACGCGCGTGGATATAAAAGCAGCCATTTCAGCTCAACCAACAGTTACACCGAGGGGTGAGGTGAGAGCTCGACTCGTCTTCCTCGTGTTTCAGTTGTTCGATGTCTCAAATGGCTGTATTCTGATAATTGCGGTTGCAATAACTTGTCTCCTGTACACGTCTGGATGCTTCTGCTTCAGATTAGATCCAGTCGATCGCAGGAAAACAGATCTCAGATCCAACCTCCATCCCCCCCAACACCACCCTTGACTTGGCTTCATTGCCGCCATTTCTCTTGCCTTTCAACCTCTCCGAATCCCACTCAACTCCGCCTCGCAGGCAGATTTCGTCACAGCCTCCACTGTCATTCTCTCCTCCACAGAGCCCTCCGGCCCTCCGCCTGCTCGCCTCGCTCCCGCCTTTCCAGTCCCCTCTCGCACAGTCCCAGAGTTTTCTGCTCCTCCCCGCGTGCCTCCTGAACCCCACCATCCCCGGCCAGCCTCAGACTTCGCCTCTGCTGCTGCATACGCTCCTCCTGCTCCTTCTGCGCGTGCTGCTCCTGCTGCTCCCTCGTCCCGTGCTGCTGTCTCTTCAGCTGCTCCCGATCATGTCCCGAACCAATCCTTTAAAACTCACGGATCCGATTCAGCAGAAGCAGCAGCAGCAGCTGGCGGAGCAGCAGCCGGGGCAGCAGCAAGGGGAGGTTGGGGAGCAGGTCGTGCAAAACCACCAGCCAGAGCCGAGCCAGAGACCCTCCTAGCCCCCCCTCGGCCTCTCTTCCCGCTCTCTCCCCCAGCCCAGCAGCAAACCCCAGATTCGCCTCCCCCAGTCAAGTCTAAGGCGCAACAATTAGCCAAAAAACTGTTTGCCACTCCATTCGCGGCGTCACCTGAAGGCTATTCCACTGAGAGCGATGTTCGCTGCTCCACAGGGACAGATGTGACAGGGGCGCTGAACTGGGGAGGATGGGGACAAGTGGGCGCGAGTGGCTTGGAGTGTGAGGGAGAAAGGTTCGGACAGGGAGCAGGAGCAGCAGCAGCAGCAGTTGCAGCGGCAGCAGCAGAAGCAGAAGAAGCAGCAGCAGCGGCAGAAGCAGAAGCAGAAGCAGAAGCAGCAGCAGCGGCAGCAGCAGCGGCAGCAGCAGCAGCGGCGGCGGCGGCAGGAGGAAGAGGAAGAGGAAGAGGAGGAGGAGGGGGAGAAGACGCAGGAGGAAGAGGACTCAGGGAAAGCGTAGGAGGGAGCGATGGAGCACGGGAGAGAGTGGCAGTGGCAGGGTCGGTGGAATCAGCTTCGGTGTTTATGGCTTACTCTTCCTCTGCCTCTTCTGTTCACTCCATGTACGCCCTCTCCCAGGGCTCACCGGGCACACCAGAAGCAGCTGGAACAGCAGCAGCAGAAGCAGCAGAAGCAGCACCAGTAGCGGCAGGAGCAGCAGGGGCCACTGATTATGAAAACCAAAAGCCTTCTTCTGTTCACTCCATGTACGCCCTTTCCCAGGGGTCATTGGGCGCACCAAAAGCAGCTGGAGCAGCAGCAGCAGCTGCTGCTGCAGGTGCTGCTGCTAGGGAAGCCCCGGCAGGAGCAGGAGGCTCACCAGATTTAGCAGCAGCTTGGGGAGGCCAGCCTTCCCCAGGTAAGCCCTCCCCAGCATCACCATCCAGTTTAAATTATCCAAACGCCTCAGCATCAGGATCTCCACAACATGTTGTTGACACACCAAGCCCAGAACCAATTCGGCCACTGGCTGTCAAGACTCCAGCACAGGAAAAGCCTTCATCACTGCAGCTGCAAGATCATGACAATGCTGCACACACTCAGTTTCAGGTTCAGTCGCGTTCTCCTCAGCCACTCTCCCCTCGTTCGCCTGCAAGCGCTAACAGGAGCCCTGCTCCGGCCCAACCACCATCACCTCAGTATAATGAGACTCCACCTCGTGAACCGCTCTATCCTCTTCCTTCCCCTGCAGGAAGCAACAGAAGTCCTGCTCCCTCCCAACCATCACCTCAGTATGGCCAAACCCCACCGCGTGAACCACTCTATCCTCCTCCTTCCCCCACTGGAAGCAGCAGGAGTCCTATTTCCGCCCAGCCTTCACCGTGGCCTCAAACCCAATACGAACCCCGCTCGCCATCGCCTGAACCACTCTATCCTCCTCCCTCCCCTACAGGAGGCAACAGGAGCCCTGCTTCTTCCCACCGTTCTTCTGCTCCCCGATCGGCAGCAGCTGCGGCTGCTCTGAGTGCCCTCGGTGCGGCTACTCTGGCAGCAGGAGGCCCTCCTCTTGCTGCTGGCACTCCTCCTGTAGATGCACAGACCCACGCTCCCTATTCCCATGGCCCATCACCACATAGATATGGTTCGGAGAGTGTGACAAGTAGTGGAACAGGTGGGGGGCGTGAGTCTGGAGGGGGTCGTGAGTCGGCTGCTAGTAGCAGAGGTGGTTGCAGCGCTGGTGGCGTTTCTGTTGCAAGCAGTGGGCATGGGTTTGGTAATGCAGCAGGTGCTGGTGAGCGGATGAGTGGCGGTGGGAGTGCTGCTGCTGCAGCAGCTGCTGCTTCTGCTGCAGCTTCTGCAGCTGTGGTTACTCCCCCGGTCCCTACTCGGCTGGATTTCCAGTCTCCTGTTGGGGAACCAGGAAGCAAGAAGAGCGAGAGTGGGAGAGGCAGAGCCAAGGAGTCTGGAGGGAAGGGGAGCGTCCTGGGATCTGCCTGGAGATCTGGTGGGTCGAATAAGAAGCTGCCACCTGGCACTGATGGGGAGCGGTGGAATGATGACGAGGACGATGATGACGTGGCATCGTCTGATTCGTCCTTGTGTTCGGATTCGTCTGAGATGTCCTCCACGCTTGTGGCGGGCGGTGGCGAGGACTCGCCAGCTGGCACAAGAGATGGAGACTCTGCCAGCTCAGCAAGGGGGCGGTTGAAGTGGCCGTTGCGCCAGCTGGCATCGGGGCTGACGGCAGAGGAGCTTCAAGCAAGCGCCTATGAGGTGCTGCTGCTTGCAGCAGCGGAATCCGGGTGAGCAGCGTGCCCTGGTTCGATTTGAGATGGCTTTTGACTCAACTCAAAAGCTACTTCAAGCAAGCGCATATGAAGTGATGCTTCTTGCAGCAGCGTTTAGGGTTTGGGTGAGTTGGATTGGATTTTGTGATGTCTCCTGAGAAGCACGGGTGCATTCGAGTAGACTGACTGACGGAATCAAGGTGTGAGACGTTTTTCTCCCTGTTCATGGACGAGGAATGGAGTGCTCTGCCCTGCTTGTAGTCATGCACTCCATCCCCCCGTGCTCTGCAGATCCTTATCTACACTGGCGCCTCGCCTGCTGCCACCAGTGTAGGCAGCAGTGGCAAGAAGTTGGCAACTCAACTCGAAGCAGCCAAATCTGTGCTCTCATCAAGTCTACTTCCTCCGCGTCACTCTCCCCTCCCCCGCCCTCTCCAGGCTTGTGTCTGCACCAGCGCCTGGTGCCACCAGTGCAAGCAGCAGCAGCAGCAGCAGCAAGAGCAAGCCCCGCCGGCCTGAATCCCCCGTAGAGCCCAAGTCCAAGTCCCCAGGCGGCTTCATGTCCCGCTTCGCCAAGAAGGTCGGGGTCAACGTGGGGCAGTTCAAGGGACCCAAACCTGCTGCTGGCAGTGCTGCTGCTGCTGGTACTGGTGGCGGTGGCGGTGGCAGTGGTGGTGGTGGGGGTGGTGGAGAGAGGGGGATTGGGGATGGGAGTGGAGGGGAGGGAGGAGGAGGAGCCCTGTCTCCAGAGCTGGCTCGCATGCGGCAGCAACTAGGGGTACGTGATCGGCGCTTCTCCTCCTGCCTTGTCCTACCGTACGTTTGCCTTTTCCTACCATTCTTCCCCTGCATGCATCTGCTTCTTTCCAGCCTCCGTTCTTCCCATGTTTTCTCCTCCCCAAGAGTTGTTTTTTTTTTCAACTTTCAATCTGCAAGTGCTTAATCCGTCCCCGGTATCTCCCCATCACGCTCCCACCTATGGCAGGTACCCAAGTCTCTCCACGCTCTCCTCCTCTCAGCCCTCTTCTTCCCACCCCCATCACACACCGTCGAAATGCCATCCCCCATCAGCCCCCTCACCGGTGCAGCAGCAGCAGCAGCAGCAGCAGCAGCAGATCATCCTGCCTCTCTTCATTTTCTCTCCATTCCTTCTCTCCATAGGTCTTCATTCTCTCTCCATTCCTTTCCCCTGCCCTTCCCTGCTTCCCTCTCCCCCCTTTCCACAGGTACCCGAGTCTCTCCAAGCTCTCGTCCTCTCAGCCCTCTTCTTCCCACCCCCCTCACACACCGTCGAAATGCCATCCCCCATCAGCCCCCTCACGGGTGCAGCAGCAGCAGATCATCCTGCCTCTCTTCAGTCTCTCTCCATTCCTTTCCCCTGCCCTTCCCTGCTTCCCTCTCCCCCCTTTCCACAGGTACCCGAGTCTCTCCAAGCTCTCGTCCTCTCAGCCCTCTTCCTCCCACCCCCATCACACACTGTCGAAATGCCATCTCCCATCAGCCCGCTCACGGGTGCAGCAGCAGCAGCAGCAGCTGCTGCCATTCCCCCCCTCCCGCTCCCCCTCTGCTTGCTCCTCCACTTCTCCCCCATCCCCGCCTCCCTCTCCTCCTCCTTCTCCCCGGGGGTTGGTGCACTCAAGGCTGCTGCTTCTTCTCTCGCTGCAAAGTTCTCCAATCTGTCTCCAGACCTCCGCAGAGCATTCTTCCACAGACAGGTGTGTGTCTGTGTTTGTGTGTGTGTGTCTGTGTGTGTGTGTGTTTGTGTGTGTGTGTGTGTGTGTGTGTGTGTGTGTGTGTGTGTTGTTGTTGTTTGCCTCAATTCAATTCAGTTTTTTCACATTATCATGCTCGCTCCACCGCCATTCCCATGTGCTTGTCAAACCCCCACCCCACTCCTATCCGCACACCAGGTGAAGCTGCCGCATGAACTGCTGCTGGACGCCACAGGCACTGTTGCTGCTGGAGAATTTCCTCATTCCGTATTCTGCCCTTTCCACCCAATCTGCTTGTCCACCCCAACCTCCCGATCCACTTGTCAACTCCCCACTCACACCAGGTGAAACTGCTGCAGGAACTGCTTCTGGACGCCACAGGTACTGCTGCTGCTGGAGCAGCGCCAGCAGCACTGCTGCTGCTGCTGCTGCTGCTGTGCGGTTATCTTCACAGTCAACCACCCACCCCAATCTGATTATCAACCCCCCACTCACACCAGGTGAAGCTGCTGCAGGAACTGCTGCTGGACGCCACAGGCATTGCAAAGCACCAGGGCTCAGGAAAGGAAGGAGCGGCAGGAGCGGGAGGAGAGGCACAGGGCGGCGATGATCGTGCTGAGGTGGCAGCTGCTCTGGATGCCATGCTGGCACTTGTCAAGGTGAGCTGTTCGTTCGCTCGTCTGTTCCTCCGTTTGGTTGTTCCAACCTCTTTCGACGGCTAGTGGAGCCACAATCTAAATGTCAGGCTTCGGGTCTTGTCCCACCTCTTCTTCCCCTCTCTCTTCCCCTTCCCACACGCCTGTCCCCCCTCTCACCCATCCGCAACCACGAGTTCATCACTTCTCCTCCATCCTTCAAGGCTCTCACTTTCTTGTCGCACGTTTCCCGCTCCGTTTTTTTTTCAAGTGCTTCCTCTTCCCCTCCTCTCCCCTGGCCCCCCCCACCCACCCAGGGTCACGGGTTCATCACCTCCCCTCCGTCCTTCGAAGCCAAGTAGAGCCGGTAAATGAGCGAGCTGCGGTGGCTGCTCCTATCCTCTGCTCCTCCCCTCTCACCCTATCCCTCTCCTCCTCCCCCCCCCCCCAACCACCCAGGGTCACGAGTTCATCACCTCCCCTCCGTCCTTCGAAGCCAAGTGGAGCCGGTAAATGAGCGAGCTGTGGTGGCTGCTCCTATCCTCTGCTCCTCCCCTCTCACCCTATCCCTCTCCTCCTTCTCCCCCCCCCACCCACCCAGGGTCACGAGTTCATCACCTCCCCCCCGTCCTTCGAAGCCAAGTGGAGCCGGAAACTGAGCGAGCTGCGCTGGCTGCTGGTGGGGGGATTCGCCTGGGGCGGCAGGAGGGGAAACACAGCAGCACTGGCCGCAGCAGCAAGCAACAGCAGTGCTGGCAGTGGTGCAATTGGTGGTGCTGGTGGCAGTGGCAGTGGTGGTAGGCAAGGGAAGCAGCTACCGGTGTTGCCTGGTGCCTGGTGTCCCTCTAGGGCCAGCTTGAACGCCTCCCTGTACCATCAGCTGCTGTCCGCCTGCTGTGATCCCTCCGATTCAGCCTCTTCCATTGACCTCCTCTTCGTAAGTTCCTTGCAGCACCGCACAGCACGTAAGGTTGTTAGGGTAGCAGGCACCTACCGGTGCTGCCTGGTGCCTGTTGTCCCACCAGAGCCAGCTTGAACGCATCTCTGTACCATCAGCTGCTGTCCGCCTGCTGTGACCCCTCTGATTCGGCCTCTTCCATCGACCTTCTCTTTGTAAGCACAGCACAGCGCAGCGCAGGACAGGACAGCATCCACACTCTCTGATTTTTTTCTTCCTGGCTTGCTCAAAATTCATTACCCCCTCAACACTTCCGCTTCACCCCGCTTCTCTCACGATTTTTCAGGAGATGGAGGAGAGAATAGAGGCCATCAGGCCCACGTGGCAGCCTCTGGGAGTGACACCTGTCACACACAGTGCCCTGCAAGCCTGGACTCTCTGCCAGAAGGTGTGTGCTCACTGCCAGGTGGCATGCCCATCCAGGTGACGTGGATTGCCAGGTGACGTGGATTGCCAGGTGACGTGGATTGCCAGGTGACGTGGATTGCCAGGTGACGTGGATTGCCAGGTGACATGCATGTCCTCTTGGAGGCTTCGGTTCCAACCCTCTCTCACGCGCTGTCTATCAACATCAGCAGCATGTTTGTTTAGTCGACCAAGAACAAACATCTCATCTTACCCTCCCCTCTTTCCTCTTCTCCCAGGCTTCTGTTCCAACCCTCCCTCACCCGCTCTCATCACCATCGCCAGCTGGCGGTCTGCCAGATCAGCAGCAGCAGCTTCTGCCAATCAGAGCCGTGCTTCCGCTCATCTGCCAATCACTGCGTCGCTTACCAACCACTGCCTGTGCCCGACCATCATCATCATCCGCAGCAGCAGCAGCAGCAGCAGCAGCAGCAGCAGGAACAGCAGCTGCAGCAGCAAAAGCAGTAGCAGCCGCAGATTGCAGAGAGGAACCTTCAGCGAAGGTTCTCCTTCTCCCGTTCGTGCAGTCGGTGTGTCGCTTCCTGTCGTCCCTTCTAAGTGACTACCACCACACCCTGCTGGAGGTGAGTGATTAGTTTCTTTCTGAGGCGCCTGAAACTTAGACCGTCGCTTCTAAGTGACTACCACCACACGCTGCTGGAAGTGAGTGGGTTATCACCCCCCAGGCTTGAATCCCTTAACCCGTGCAGCCATGCCCATGTGTCCATGTCCATACCCAGCTCTGTAGTCTGCTCCTCTCACGTACCATACCCCACACGACTGCCTCACATCTCCCCTCCTCTCTCCACTCTCCCTCCACCCCTGGCCTGCTCTTTTTCCCAGGCGTCCAGTGCGAGTGGCAGTACTAGCGCGATTGCAGACGGATTGGCAGCATTGGACTCGTGCCTGTGCTGCTGTGACCTGCCTCCTCACTCCACGCTTTTTCCCCCTCGTCCCTGCCCTGACCCTTGCCCTTTCATCCTCTTAATCCCCAGGCTTCCAGCAGTACTGGCGCGAATGCAGACGGATTGGCAGCATTGGAATCGGCTCTGGACTCGTACCTGTGCTGCTGCGACCTGCTGGAAGCAGGCAGGAAGAGGAGCAGCCGCAGACACACGGTGAGTGGGGGGGATTTGGAGAGTGGGGCTGGCAGCTCTTTCCTTACAGGCTTCAAGCTCCTCACACTTATTAAGGCAAGCAGCATTGGAATCGGCTCTGGACTCGTACCTGTGCTGCTGCGACCTGCTGGAAGCAGGCAGGAAGAGGAGCAGCCGCAGACACACGGTGAGAGAGGGGAGGGCTGGGGGAACGAATGGGGGAGCCGGAGGAAGAGGATGTGTTTTTTAACCTTGCTTGCTTCTGTAAGGTGGGATGTGTTAATGCCATAATGCAAAACGTAATGCCACCTGGATCTGCCCCTTCCTCTCCCAAGGCCCAGCAGCAGCCCTTGTTGTTGAGAAGAGGAAGAGGAGCAGCCCTTGGCGTTTTTTGAGATTTCTCAAACCCCAGCAGCCAATGTATCAATTTCCTTCCCTCTCTTCCAGCCCCCAGGAGCACCACCGGGCATGCAGCGAGGGGAGGAGGGGCTGGAGTTCGTTCACATGTCAGTGCTCTCCTCTTCTCCTTCAACCGAGCCTGTTGTCGTTCCTTTACCCTTGTCTCTTCCAGCCCCCAGGAGCACCACCGAGCATGCAGCGAGGGGAGGAGGGGCTGGAGTTCGTTCACATGTCAGTGCTCTCCTCTTCTCCTTCAACCGAGCCTGTTCTCGTTCCTTTACCCTTGTCTCTTCCAGCCCCCAGGAGCACCACCGAGCATGCAGCGAGTGGAGGAGGGGCTGGAGTTCGTTCACATGTCAGTGCTCTCCTCTTCTCCTTCAACCGAGCCTGTTGTCGTTCCTTTACCCTTGTCTCTTCCTGCCCCCAAGAGCACCACCGAGCATGCAGCGAGTGGAGGAGGGGCTGGAGTTCGTTCACATGTCAGTGCTCTCCTCTTCTCCTTCAACCGAGCCTGTTGTCGTTCCTTTACCCTTGTCTCTTCCTGCCCCCAGGAGCACCACCGAGCATGCAGCGAGTGGAGGAGGGGCTGGAGTTCATGCGGATGTGACTTTTGAGTTGACTCAAAAGTCACCTTGAGTGGAGGAGGTACTGGAGTTCATGCGGATGTAGGCCCTCTCATCGTTTGATTGTGTCCGTCCGTGTGTGTATGTGCGTGTCCTACTCCATAATCTAACCCATCCTTATCTCTCGCAGACCCCAGGAGGAGCACCACCAAGCATGGAGCGAGTGGAGGAGGTACTCGAGTTCGTTCACACGTCAGTGCTCTCGTCCTTCGACCGCGCCTGCCTAGACGCCATGGCAGCAGCAGCAGCCAAAGCCCAGAAGCAGCACGCCCACGACCAGAACGCCGATGGAAGCTCCTCCTTCTCCTTCCCAGACTCTTCCACAGACGGACCCGCTTCGGATTTCAGAGCAGCAGGGGCGGGCGGAGAGGTGGGATTGGCTCAGATGGCTGAGCTGGCGAGTGTGGTTATAGAGAGGGAGGCGGGGGGAATGGTTGCGGGGGATGCAGGGCGAACAGGGAAGGGAGGCGGGAGAGGAAGGGGAGAGGGAGGGGAGGGAGGGGCGGCGAAGGGTGGATGTGTTGCGGTGTTCAGGCGGCTGGGGGTGTATGGGACAGCAGCAGTGGCAGCAGCAGCGCTGCACCAACAGTTGGATTCGCAACTGGTGAGTTGTGTGAAGGGGATAGGGAGGGGAGGGAGGGGCGGCGAAGGGTGGATGTGTTGTGGTGTTCAGACGGCTGGGGGTGTATGGGACAGCAGCAGTGGCAGCAGCAGCGCTGCACCAACAGTTGGACTCTCAATTGGTGAGTTGTGTGAAGGGGATGGGGAGGGGAGGGAGCGGCGGCGAAGGGTGGATGTGTTGCGGTGTTCAGGCGGCTGGGGGTGTATGGGACAGCAGCAGTGGCAGCAGCAGCGCTACACCAGCAGCTGGATTCGCAACTGGTGAGTTGTGTGAGCTTGGTTAAAGTAATAGGCTTTGATAATTCTCAGAAATGACTTCTGCAAGACGTTTGTACTTCTTGTATCGATATCTTTTCCTGTGTGCACCTCTGACCCACCAGGACCCGTTCCTCTCAGTGGTATCAGAGCTGCACCCCGACTGCTGCAAGGCATTTTTCCTCCAACCCCTCTCCATGCATTCTCACCACATTCCACCTCTCCCAACGCCTTCCCCCTGTGTACCAGGACCCGTTCCTCTCAGTGGTATCAGAGCTGCACCCCGACTGCTGCAAGGTGTTTTACGCTGTGGACGCATTCGACAGGCGCGTGCAGCAGGTGGTACAGGGGGAGGTGCGGGCAGAGGAAGAGGAGAAGAAGAGAGCAGGAGAGGGGCATGGGGGATACGGCCATGCAGCACAGATTGCAAGCGAGCTGAACCCGTACCAGGTGGGTTCCCTTTGGTCTCGAGGTGCTGTGATGTAATTGCATCCGACAGGCGCGTGCAGCAGGTGGTGCAGGGGGGGGTGCGGGCAGAGGAGGAGGAGAAAAAATAAGAAGAGGGCATCTCACCAAGGGCCGCTGGCAAAAGAGAAGGAGAGCTACTTGCCAACATCCTTCTTCTATTTCATTTCTATTCTTAGCAAGTACTTCATCAGTTCCCCTCTTGAGAATGTTATGTTTTGTTTTGTACCAAGTGACTAACCGGTCTCCCATATGTTTCTGCCTTCCCCGCAGATCGATCCTATCATGAAGCGTCTGTTCTCCACGTGGGTGTGTTTTGAAACACCTCATGACCCTGGGCGCATTTGTTCCTGTCTCATAACCGTGAGCCCTCCCTTACATTCCTTGCTGCACCCTTCCCCGCAGATCGACCCTGTGATGAAGCGTCTGTTCTCCGCATGGGTGTCAGCGCAGCAGCAGAAGCTGCACGTGTGGATGGAGAGGGGCGTAGAGGCAGAGGTGAGAGACAGGGAAGGGAGGGTGGCGGGGTGTAAGTCGAATGTGTGGTATGAGATAGACGGGGGGGTTTTAATTCTTACTGCAGCAGCAGAAGCTGCATGTGTGGATGGAGAGAGGAGTGGAGGCGGAGGCGAGAGGGAGGGGAGGGAGGGAGGACAGAAGAGGGGGGACTCGAGAGTGTTGTATGCGATGAGGAAGGCAGGGTGAATTGCTGAGTGCAGCAGCAGAAGCTGCATGTGTGGATGGAGAGAGGCGTGGAGGCAGAGGTGAGAGAGAGGAGGGAGGGTGACGGGGTGCGAGTCAAATGTGTGGTATGAGATAGAAAAGTGGGAATTATAGTACTTATTGCAGCAGCAGAAAAGCTTCATGTGTGGATGGAGAAAGGTGTGGAGGCAGAGGTGAGATACAGGGAATGGAGGGTGCTGGTCAGTCGAATCTCGGTACGCATTTCCAAAAGTGCTGCCAATGCTTGCAGCAGCAGAAGCTTCCCCGCTCTTCTCCTTCCCTCCTCACGCTCTCTCCTCTTATCCTCTCCTCTTCCGCTCCTCTCACCCTCACTTCCTCTGTCCCGCTCCTGCAGACGTTTGAGCCAGCATCGGATACAATCAAGCACGGGGCGTCAGCAGTGGATGCAGTGCGGCTGGTGGAAGAGGTGAGGGTGGGATGGTGGAAGAGGTGAGGGTGGGATGGTGGAAGAGGTGAGGGTGGGCTGGTGGAAGAGGTGAGGGTGGGCTGGTGGAAGAGGTGAGGGTGGGATGGTGGAAGAGGTGAGGGTGGGATGGTGGAAGAGGTGAGGGTGGGATGGTGGAAGAGGTGAGGGTGGGATGGTGGAAGAGGTGAGGGTGGGATGGTGGAAGAGGTGAGGGTGGGATGGTGGAAGAGGTGGGATGGTGGAAGAGGTGAGGGTGGGATGGTGGAAGAGGTGAGGGTGGGATGGTGGAAGAGGTGAGGATGGGATGGTGGAAGAGGTGAGGGTGGGATGGTGGAAGAGGTGAGGGTGGGATGGTGGAAGAGGTGAGGGTGGGATGGTGGAAGAGGTGAGGGTGGGATGGTGGAAGAGGTGAGGGTGGGATGGTGGAAGAGGTGAGGGTGGGATGGTGGGAGAGGCGAGGGTGGGCTGGTGGGAGAGGCGAGGGGCGTGTGGCGTGCAGAGAAGAGGTAAACTCCACGGATGATAGATGTACTTTTTCCTGTCTGTGATAGAACCTGTTGCTTATACCTCTCCTGCGGCTGTCAGCAATGGAGCAGCGAGATGACTTCAAACTTCAAATCTCCGTGCCTTTCCTCTGTTCTCGACCCCCTCTCCTCTTCTAGAGCAGTTCTTTCGTCTCGGCCTCCCCCCCCGCCTGCCCATGCTACAGCAAATCGTCCATAGCACCGACTCCCTCATGAGCGCCTATGCTGCCAAGATCGCTGCTCTCGGGCCCAGAGACGACAGCAAGCTGCCTCCCTGTCTCCCTGTCCTCCCTTTCACCCCCTACTCCAGGTGCTAGAGCAGTTCGTTCGTCTCAGCCTCCCTCCCGACCTGCCCATGCTGCAACAAATCGTGCACAGCACCGACACCCTCAGGAGCGCCTATGTGGCCAAGATCTCCCCTTTCACCCCAGCGACTGCTGGATGCAGCAGCGAGTCAACCTCAAGGTCACTTCCTCTTTCTCCCTTCCCCTCCTTCTATCCCCTACCTCAGGTTCTAGAGCAGTTTTTCCGTCTGGGTCTGCCTCCCCGCCTGCCCATGCTGCAACAAATAGTTCACAGCACCGACACCCTCATGAGCGCCTACGTGGCCAAGATCGCTGCTCTCGGCCCCAGAGACGACCTCAAGCTCCCTCCGCCGCCCCTCACGCGCTTCAAGGAAGACCTGGCCCAGCGGCTCGCTGATAAGGCGGAGAGAAAGGCAGAGAGGGAGGAGCGGGTGCAGAAAGGGAAAGCGGGGTATTTGGAGGGGCTGTGGCATGCGCGGAAGGGTGTGGGAGGTGGGGGAGGGGGAGGGGGAGGGGGAGGGGGAGCGGGAGCGGGAGTGGGAGGGAGAGTTGGGGTGAGGGTGGTTGATGCGGCGAAAGCTGCTGCGATTGATGCGCTGACTATGAAGAAGCTGTGTGTGCGGATCAACACTCTTGAGGTGAGAATTGAGTTGGGTGCGTTATGGGTGTGTAGAGTTGGTTATGTCACGTCACGTGGCTGCTGGAATTTATGCGCTGCCCGTGCGGAAGCTGTCTGTGCGGATCAACACCCCGGAGGTGAGAGGTTGGGTGTGTTGCTGCGCTGCGCTGATGCGGGCTCAAGAGAGGAAGCTTTTTCAATCATTGCCCTCCCTGTTCTGCGGTTTGATCTCCCTCCTTCTTACACCAGTTCGGGACAGCAGAGCTGAACAAGTCTGAAAGCTCTGAGTCTAATTGCAAAGCTTCCCACTCCTCTCTGGTACACCAGTTCGTGACAGTAGAGCTCGACAAGTCTGAGAAGGCTCTCTGTGAACGCTGGGGCGAGTACGCTCCACACCTCAAGATCGTCCCTCTTCTCCTCCCCTCTCTTCTCCTCCCCTCTCTTCTCCTCCCCTCTCTTCTCTCTCCTCTGCTCTGTGGTTTCCTCCCCCTCCCACTTAACCAGTTCGTGACAGCAGAGCTGGACAAGTCTGAAAGCTCTTAATTGAATTGCACAGCTACCCACTCCTCTCCCGTACTCTGGTCTATCCTACCTGTTCCCCCCACACCAGTCCGTGACAATAGGGCTCGACAAATGTGAGAAGGCTCTCTGTGAGCGCTGGGACGAGTACACGCCGCACCCCAATATCATCCGTCTTCTCCTCTCCTCTCCCCTCTCTTCTCCCCTCTTGTTCCGCTGTTTGCTCTTTGTTACCCTCCCACACACCAGTTCGTGACAGTAGAGCTTGACAAGTCTGAGAAGGCTCTTTGTGAGCGCTGGGACGAGTACGCGCCGCACCTCAAGATTGATGACATGGCAGGTACGCTGACGTGGCAAACAACTGAGACTACTGACGTGGCACATGAGAATGCTGACGTGGCAGGTGAACACTGGCCGAGTATATGCCTCCGCTGGTCCTTCGTACTCCTCCTTGGCATCTCCTCTGTCAATGCGGTGACCTTTGAGCCTCTGCCTCTCCCCTTTCGTGTGCCAAGTGCGCTGTAGGCGTCTCAAAACTGTCCGTTAATGACAATCTCTTAGGCGCCTCAAACATCCCCTCATGTGCAAGGTGTGCTTAGGCGCCTTCTGAGCCATCTCAAATCAAACCTCTCTGCTACTGACTGTGCATAAAATGCTCTTTCTTCCCTCCCCTGTTTGACCCCCCCTCTTCCCCCGCTTACAGCTTTGGCCCCATCCCAACTAACCTCCTCCCTTGCCTTCCGCCTATCCACTGAGGGTGTTTCTGGGCTCAAGAGAGGAAGCTTCTATGAGCAGACCACCACGCTTGCAGCACAGCGCATGCAGACCTTATCTGACTACCTCGGTGAGTGAGTGAGTGTGCGAGTGTGAGTGTGGTGCATGTGTGTGAGCATGTAGCCCCCTATTGAGGTGTCTCAACTCAAGAAAGGCCTGTACTGACCACCACGCTTGGAGCGCAGCACATGGAGACCCTCTCGCACTACCTCGGGTAGTGCCTAGTTGATCTTGCTTATAACTTATCTGTCGTTTCGAAATTTCAAATAAAACAATCAGCATCTTACCTTGGCTTGTGGTAATCGGAATTAATTTAGCTAACGCGGAATTGTTGTTTTGAGCTGTTTTCATGTCTTCCCTCGCCTCGCTCCACGCAGGCACCAAGGTGGTGTGGTGGGACCTCAGGGAGGCGTTTCTGGAGGAGCTGTATCGTGTGAGCGTGGACTCGTGCCGCATGAGCAACCTCATGCTCAAGCTAGACCCGGTGAGAGCTTGTTCCTGTCATGTTTATGGACCCTGGCTCATGCCGTGCTGTGTGTGGGAGGGGGCATTTAAGTGACCATGTATCGTGTGAGCGTGGAGTCCTGTCGCATGAGCAACCTCATGCTCAAGCTAGACCCGGTAAGATCTAGTGTTTGTTTGTTTTTGTTTTTCTCCTCTTTTGTTTTGTTTTGTTTTGTTTTGTTTTTTTTTTTTTTTTTTGCCATTCTGTGCCGTAGGATGGAGCATTGATCATGTGCGGTGTGAGCTATGCTGATTGAATTCACTGCAATGTGCATTTTGATTGTTTTGGTTCTTGTATCCACTTGCAGGTGTTGGGGGAAATTGTGGAGACCGTCTCAGACTCTCTGAGGGACCGTGTCGTCACCTCTCTCCTGCACTCTGTTCTGGTAATTTGGGTTTTTTTTCTTTCTTTCTGGGAGGAGGGCGGGGGGGGGGAAGGGGGGAGGGGTGAGAGGGATTTGTACTTCTTGCATTTGTGATCACACTTCGGCGATCAGCACATGCGAATTTGTATTTGTCCTAACGTCCCTCTGACCAGCACATGCGACGTCTGAACGTTGTTCACTCACTCTGATCTTTGAAACCGCTCTTAAAACCCTCCCACCCCACCAGGAGGGCCTGCTGCGTGTGCTTCTGGACGGCGGGCCTCTGCGGGTGTTTGCCCAGTCAGACTACGATGCTCTAGAAGATGATCTCCGCATTCTCAAGGTGAGCAGCTGATGTGATGGCATGATGATATGGGATGGCTCAAACAGGCAAACTATGATGTGTGCTTCTGGACGGTGTTCCTCTGAGGGTGTTTGCCCAGTCAGATTATGTGGCACTGGAAGATGACCTTCGTAAACTCAAGGTGATTCCCCATAATTTCCAGAATAATTTCACATCTCTGGGAAGCATGGCATGGAGTTGAATGGCACGGAATAATATGAGAAGCTCACCTCATATGACATGGCGTGGCATGGCATCATGCATGATCGTGCCCTGATATGGACATGACACATGATATACATTGCATGATATGGTATCCTTTCCGCCCCCCTTCCGCCTCCCTTTTGCCCCTCCACCCTTTCCATTTTATGACCTGGCATGGCGTGGCATGGCATAATGCATGATCGTGCCCTGATTTGGACATGACACATGATATACATTACATGATACGATATCCTTTCCCCCTCCCCCCTTCTGTCTCCCCCTTGGCCTCCCCCCCTTCCCCCTCCCCCTTTTCACTTTCCCTTTCCCCATTTCCCGTCCCCCAGGAGTTCTTTGTGGCGAATGGCAATGGCTTGCCACAGGAGGTGGTCAACAAGGCAGCAGCTCAGGTGCAGCAAGTGCTCAACTACTACTCCCTCGATGTGAGTGTTTCACAATGCATTTGTACTGTATTTGCATGTTTGTAACATACTTCAACTTTATTTGTAAGGTAATTTTCATGCCCCCCTTCCACTCTACAACCGCCTGTTCCAATGAACCTAGCCTCAACTTAATATATTGTTGTCAATACCCCACGTGTTCTTCCAACTACCGTATCGCCCTCCCCATTCCAGACTGCTGACGTCATTATCGTTTACAAGCAAGCAGCGGGAGCCAGTCAAGCGGCAGGTGGTGCGTTCCGGGCGTCTTCATTTGTGAAGGGTGGAGGCGCGGGGCTCACTGGGCACGATGCACATGTGCTTCTGCGTGTGCTTTGTCATAGGGCGGATCGGGAAGCTTCCAAGTTCCTCAAAAAGAACATGCACTTGCCCAAGTCATAGTAATTAGAAAACAAACGAGGATTAAACAAGTATATAGGTATACTGGGCTTAATATAGAGATTGCCCATTATTATTACCACAGGCTAGTGTTCTACATGTACCTATATCGTTTGTGATAGCTTGTTCTATGTTGGCGCAATCGTGCACGACCCACTGCTTCCATCGTCCTTGGAACCAGCTGCACATGTGGCTTCGCTTGACGCTGCCATCTAAGCAGGGATTGTCACGTGGCAGTACATCCCCCACCGACATCTCAGCAAGCAAGCCGATAACCTTATTCACCGCTTGGGAACGGAATGCACCAAACGCAACCGTGGCTGGTGATTTTGCAGCTGACACATAGGGAACTCCAGCTCACATCGCACCCTGGAAACTCCAGTTCACTCGGAAAGCAAAGCTAAGTTGCTAGCTCGGCTAGCTCGTCAGTCGGACGTGTTTGCTGCTTGGTTTCCGTTCGGACTGGCAGGTGTGGCGAAACGGAGGCCATTGTGAGAGTCATTCCTGTGCACTTGTCCTGTCAGACATTCGAAGCTTGCTAAATAGCTGCGATATAAGCAGTCTCGATACCTTCACTTGTAGCATCTTAACATGGCCTCCTCCTCGTCCTTCACTGGACGGCTTCAGCTGTCGACCGTCGCGCGGTCGGCTCCTGCTGCTTCACCCGCGTCCACCGCAAGCTCGCTCAGGCAACAACCTGCTGCTGCGGCTGGATCGCACGTCCATTCCGCTCGCTGCTCGCATGAACCTGGTGAGCGTCGCACTTGGAACGTCGCACGTCGCGCGTCGCACATGCTGATCGCCGCTTTTCACGCTGCACGTGCCATTAGCAGCGATGAAAATGCTGGTCGCGTTGAACCTGAGAACCTGCTTTTCTTCTGCCCTGTCTCATCGTCTTTCTCTGGTCTGGAACGTTAAAGAGTAAACGAACCGGCATTGCTCATGTCGATTGGTTACGATTCTACGCAACTGCCTGCAGTTCCTAGACTGCTAAATTTTCAAGATGTGACGCCATCAAAGCCTCTCGCCGGTCTTTCAGGCAGCTTAAAACTCTCTTATGTGCCTCTTCTCACCTCATTGTGCTCGTTCGTCTACTTGCGATCGGCGATTATTGTTTCTGCTGCTGTTCGTCGTCTGAAACCTACGTAATTAGCCAATCAGCTGATCTGTCCAGGGATGTTGCACCGAGCAACCGATTTGTTCAGAAAGGTTGCTCAGCCGATCTTACAGTACAGAGCTCACCCTCCTTTTTCACCGCATATTTCTCTCGCCACAGATAATGCGAATGCCAGCACGGAACAGCCGAAAGATGTTCCTAGCGCCACCATCACCACCACCACCACCAGCAGCGCCAGCAGTCGCCGGCAGCTGTTGTGCGGCGCGTGCGGAACGGCAGTGGCAGCGGCGGTGGCGGCGGTGTCAGGTGACGCGAGGGCGGAGATCATTCCCGCTCCTCCCTCCAACTCCTCCGTCTGCCGCAACTGCCAGGGCGCCGGCGCTGTTGTCTGTAAGTGCTCTCCTGTCGATGCTTCTCAGGTAGCCATCCTTGTTTGGGTAATAAGCAGCAGCAATGACAGCAGCAGTGGCATTGACAGCACCAGTGGAGGCAGTAAGGGTGGTTGCTAGGGCGGAGATGCTAGCAGCAGCAGCAATGGCAGCAGCAGGGCCAGCTGTGGCCGCAATCGCAACAGCATCCCCTCTTAGGCATGTTTCACCTCATACCATTACCCTACTCACCTCATACCATCACCCTACCTACCTCTTCCCCGCTGCCACTCTCTCCCTACCTATTTCTCCAACTCATGCATTTCACCGTCACTTGGCAGTTCCCCACCACTCTCCTTCTTCCTACTTCCTGCCTCAGTACCCACCCCTTACCTTCCCCCATCCTCTCTCCTTCCCCCTCACCTCCTCGTCCCCCTTATCCCCATCCCCAGTTTTTCCCCATCCGTGCCCCCCTTCTCTCAACCACCACGCCCTTTTTCTACCCTAAAATTCCGGGCGCGCCTCTCCAAGCGACTTCTGAGACACCTTATGACGCCATATGCATGCCATGCCACCCTTCTCTCAGCCTCCAGAGCCACTTTCCACCAGAATCAGTGACTCACTGCGTAAACCATACGTGTGAGCCGCCTCAGAAATAGGAAAATTGTTACCTTTTTTGTAACACGGTAACACCCATTTCCAGAGTGTTGCGGGTGAGAGCTTACAGAGAAAACTTGCCTGGAAAAAATGTGCTTCGAGATTCGGTATACTTGCCACTTCACTCCTCGGCACCTCAATCGAACCTCAAAACCTGTCTGAATCCCTCTATCACTTCTCTGTGCTGCAGGTGATTTGTGTGGTGGCACTGGCGAGTGTAGGGTTTGTGACTCAAAGTCGCCCTTTTTAAACCCCTTGCTCTCGTTTCTCTATCCTGCAGGCGACATGTGTGGTGGTACGGGCAAGTGGAAGGCGCTGAACCGCAAGAGAGCCAAGGACACGTACGAATTCACCGAGTGCCCCAACTGCTACGGTAAGATGCTGCATTCTTTTGTTTTATCAGAGTTGAGTTGAGTTGATTATATCTGCACAGTATCCTGCACAGAATGCTTGTGGTTCTGAGGCATTTTTTGGGTAGATTCATGTGATTTGAACCAGAGAGAATAGAAGGTTTCATGAAGCTTACCCCGACGAAAATGTTTCACCCTGACCTGTTGCCTCACTATTCACATCACTGTGCTGTGATTTCTCAGGTCGAGGCAAGCTGGTGTGCCCGGTGTGTCTGGGCACGGGAGTTGGGAACGCCAAGGGGTTGCTGCGGCGGCCCGAGGCGAAGCAACTGCTGGATCAGATGTACCACGGCCGCCTGCTGCCCCCCTCCTAGGCGGGAACTAGTGTTTGGTTTCTTGTTAGTAGTGAATTCCTGTGCAAGTGTGGTTATTATTGCCCAATTGCCGTGTAGGCTTATGCAGAGACAACACTTATCAATTCAATAGACCTGTGGAACCTGTCACACAAAATAAACTTCGTAGGCATTGTAGGAACTAAAGTCGAGCTTCTTAGATGCTGATAATATGTTCTCTTTTAGCATTCTGCCTACTTCCAGATTGGGGGGGGCTGTTATGGGGTTTAATGTCGTCCGTGGAGAGTATTGAGCAAAAGTTGAATACATGTACAAAGTACCGCAAACGATTTTGTGGTTGTCTGACATCCTCGATTTTATGACACCAGGCTCGTGGCATCTTGCCGTACCTGCATGAATACCATACCTGCACCAGGCCGATATGCCGCGCCTCGTCCTGGCCGAAGGCTGACGTGGACTGACGCACTGAACCGACAACTTCTGTGGGCCTTCCAGAAGCAGCTCCGGTTCTGGGGGATGCATTGGTGCGAAAAGCTGATGCTGGGCTTCGGATGACGTGGACTAAATTTGTGATCCATGGCCGATCAGGCTCGGACACAAATGGCACGAGTGCCACGCGGCGAATAGTTATGGTGCGGATGGAGCCTTCTCTACTTCGACCTCCGCCACCAAATGGAGGATGGAATTGTTGCAATCGCGAACTCTTACTTCAGAGACATGCTTAGATGAGTTGCCTCCTTCTGTATCACGAAATTACCGATTTATAACTCGGACGAACTAAGCACCAAGGATAGCGGCAACTGAAGGGTGACGGAATACAGCTCAAGGGTCAGTCAGCCCCATTCCAGCCTGCTCCTGCTTCAACCTCGGGATTCCCGTTCCCATTTTCCCTCAGCAGCTTTCTCGTGCTTTACGTATTTCTGCAGCGACTGCTTCAAAGAACATCCGCCAGTCTCTCTGTTATCTCTCAGGTGGTCGTCGCTTGCGTTTGTGCAGCGGAAGCAAGCCAGTATCAGCTGCGCCGAACCAAGCACATCAGGTTTCCAACTGTTTTCGTCGAAATAGTTTCTCCCTCGCTTCCAGCGGACTCTCTCCTAACGACAATGCCGTCGCACCACGCCCTTGCTCGAGGGCCTGTCGCCGCGAATGCGTCTGCTTTGCAGCAGGCGCTTCGTCGAACCGAGGCTTCCCAGCTTAGGCCAAACACGCAGACCTTAGCCATTCGTGGCTTGAGCCAATCAGCGAAGCTGAGATACAGCAGATTAAGAAGTGTTCAGAGCCTCGCTGGGACCCGATTGGTCGATTTCAATTCTGTCGTCGCGAAACCGACGCAAACTCGGAGAGTGACGTCAGCGGTGGCGACGACTGATGCCTCGACGACGACTGCAGGCGATAGCACAGGTACGTTTCAAAGCACAGCAATTTGTGTGTAACAATAACGCAAGAGCGTTTTCCCATATGCCAGTTGATCCGATATGGCATTCATCCTTGTGAACGTCGTTCCGACTCCTTACGTCCATTTAGGCAACATTTTCGTCTCTTTGATTAAAACTAAATGTGCTAAGCCTTCTAAAATCTTCTCAATAACGCTCGCAGCCGTTTTCAGCTAACCTTTTCGAGACTCGTCTAATCTCCTGGCTATTGCACTTTCGCTTCTGGATTCTTGATTCACGAAAACCTTCGTGTCTGTTGTCTGTGAAAGCGACCTTCGAGAATCTGGTCCTTATCGGCTCGTGTCCGATCCGAATTACCGGCCTTTTTTTGCCTTCAACTTCCTCAGCTTGGGTTACACGGCCTTCCATTTTCTTCAGCGATTCCTGCTTCCTCTCTTCCCCCGTTCTTGCACACTCCTCTAACCTCCTTCAGTGGAGACAACCGTTGAGAATCCGGTGATCATTGGATCAGGCCCGGCCGGATACCACCTCGCATTATCCTAAACTTTCTCTGCTATATCTTATTTTCTTCCTTCTCACAACCCCTCAATCACTCTCAGTGGAGACGACCGTTGAGAATCTGGTGATCATCGGCTCAGGCCCGGCCGGATACACAGCCGCGATCTACGCTGCGCGGGCGAATCTGAAGCCGGTGCTGTTCGAGGGCGTGCAGGCCGGCGGAGTTCCCGGAGGGCAGCTCATGACCACCACGGAGGTCGAGAACTTCCCGGGATTCCCGGAGGGAATCACGGGCCCCGACCTCATGATCAGGTGCGTATCTCGAGAATTTGCGCTTGATAAGGGTCGAATGGGAATCACCGAAACCTATTTCATTATCAGACGTGTTTATTTTCAGAGGTTTGCGTTTGAAAAGGCCCGAAATGCAACTATCGACTGGCCGTCAGCGCTGTTGCCCGGGCGAGTCGACAGAATAAAGGACGGACAGTAAGGTTTGAAGGGGCGAGCAAAGCAGCAAGCGGAATGCTGAAACGAAGAAACACACATTGACTGAGTCGACTCGAGAATAGGCGGAGCGGTGGGGCGCGGAGCTGCACACAGAAGACGTGGAGTATGTGGACTTGCAGACCCGCCCCTTCACAGTGCGCAGCAGCGACCGGGAGGTGCGCTGCCACAGCGTCATCATCACCACGGGCGCCTCATTGTACTCTCCCTCCCCCGTTCCTCCCCGTTCCCCTTTTCCCCGTCGACCTTCCCCGTTCCCAATTCCCCCAGAATGAAGCAGCAGGCGGAGCGGTGGGGGGCGGAGCTCCATACCGAAGACGTAGAATACGTGGACTTGCAGACCCGCCCCTTCACAGTGCGCAGCAGCGACCGCGAGTTGCGCTGCCACAGCGTCATCATCGCCACGGGCGCCACTGCGCGCCGATTGGGCCTCCCCAGCGAGAGAGAGTACTGGTCGCGAGGCATTTCTGCCTGTGCTATCTGCGACGGCGCGAGCCCGATTTTCAAGGGGCAGGAGCTGGCTGTGGTGGGAGGGGGGGACACAGCGGTGGAGGAAGCGCTTTACTTAACTAAGTACGCTAAGCACGTGCATCTGCTGGTGCGGCGGGATGTGTTAAGAGCCAGCAAGGCGATGCAGGACCGCGTGTTCAAGAACCCAAACGTGACTGTGCACCTGAACACGATTCCTGTAGACGTGGTTGGGAACGACAAGGGGCAGATGGCTGGGATGAACGTGAAAGACGCGCAGACGGGGCAGGAGAGGATTATTCCGGTGAAGGGGCTGTTTTATGGGATCGGGCACAAGCCGAATAGCGATCTGCTGGCGGGGCAGGTGGAGCTGGATGGGAGCGGGTACGTGGTCGTGAAAGACAACGCCGTGGAGACGTCTGTTCCGGGCGTGTTCGCTGCTGGCGATTTGAAGGTGAGCCTCCTCCTCTTGACTCCTTGCTCCTGCTGTGACGGGGCTGTTCTATGGGATTGGTCACAAGCCGAATAGCGATCTGCTGGCGGGGCAGGTGGAACTGGATGGGAGCGTGTACGTGGTGGTGAAGGATAACGCCGTCGAGACTTCCGTTCCCGGCGTGTTCGCTGCTGGAGATTTGAAGGTGAGCCTCTTCTTTGCCCCTTTGCTAGCCCCTCTGCCAGTAGGGCATTCCTGGTTGGGGTAGGGTGCTTGGCCTCCTCTCGGGGCAGGTGGAGCTGGATGGGAGCGGGTATGTGGTCGGAAGGACAATGCCGTCGAGACGTCTGTTCCCGGCGTGTTCGCTGCTGGAGATTTGAAGGTGAGCCTCTTCTTGACTCCTTTTCAAGGTACCTCTGTCGCTAGGGTGCGTGGTCTGGGCTCGAGGCAGGTGGAGCTGGATGGGAGCGGGTATGTGGTGGTGAAGGACAACGCCGTTGAGACGTCTGTTCCTGGCGTGTTCGCTGCTGGCGACCTCAAGGTGAGATCAGGTCCCCTCATTAAGGTGCCTTTTGGCTCCTGCCTGCCCCAAGGTAAGTGCGAGCCTCGGGCGGGGCAGGTGGAGCTGGATGGGAGCGGGTATGTGGTGGTGAAGGACAACGCCGTCGAGACGTCTGTTCCTGGCGTGTTCGCTGCTGGAGATTTGAAGGTGAGCCTCTTCTTGACTCCTTTTCAAGGTACCTCTGTCGCTAGGGTGCGTGGTCTGGGCTCGAGGCAGGTGGAGCTGGATGGGAGCGGGTATGTGGTGGTGAAAGACAATGCCGTGGAGAGTGCTTGGCTGGTCGCAAGCGGGTTTATGGCTGTCTTGGTGAGGGTTTCTTACTTCATTTTCATGCAATCGTGCTCATGAAGCGAGCTGTTTTTCAATTACCCTCTGGCACCTGCCAATGCCTCCATCTCACTCTCACTTGTTCAGGACCACGAGTGGCGGCAGGCCATCACAGCAGCAGCGTCGGGGTGCATGGCAGCACTGTCAGTGGAGCGATACCTCACTGCCAACGACCTGCTCATCGAGTTCCACCAGGTGAGACATGTGGTGCTGTAGGTGCTGGAAACAGCAATATGGTCACACAAGGAAGAGCAGCAATGCTGACAGCAGCAGCAGCAGTAACAGCAGCACAGCAGCGTCGGGGTGCATGGCAGCGCTGTCAGTGGAGCGATACCTCACTGCCAACGACCTTCCAGGTGGTACGTAGATGTGCTGAATATGGCCCTGCACGAACCACTGCTTACACACTCGTTCTTCTCACCCTCCCCCACCCAACCCCCCTACCCATGTGTTCCCTTCCCTCTGTTGCGAGCAGAAGGAGGTGGAGGTGGTGGAGAAGAAGGAGCTCACAGAGGAGGATGTGGATGAGAGGTTCGACCCATCTGGATCCCTCTCACACCCACCATTACCCCCCGTTCCCCTTTGGGTCTGTCTGTGTGTGTTCTTCTTGTGAGCAGAAGGAGGTGGAGGTGGTGGAGAAGAAGGAGCTGACAGAGGAGGACGTGGAGGAGAGATTCGACCCGCTGCTGACGCGCCACAAGGGGCAGTACGCCCTGCGCAAGCTCTACCACGAGTCTCCTCGCTTGATCGGCGTCATCTACACTTCGCCCACCTGTGGGCCTTGCAGGACGCTCAAGCCCATGCTTGCTAAGGTAAGCGTCTCGGGGTTGATTTTGGGGTTCTCCCAGTATTCCTCGTTGCTGCTGACGCGTCACAAGGGGCAGTACGCCCTGCGCAAGCTCTACGACGAGTCTTCTCGCCTCATTGGGGTGATTTACACTTCGCCCACCTGTGGGCCCAGCAGGACGCTCAAGCCCGTGCTCGCTAAGGTATGTGGGGGTAGAGTAGATTCCGGGCCAGTTTTCCTCATTGCTCACAAGGTACAATGGTCAGTACGGTCTGCGCTTGCTTCTGTGGTGGAAACTTTTTGCTGTCAGATTCGCTCGGTGGAAATTGACATCGAGGAGGACCCTGAGATTCGTGCTACCTTGCACTGCCCCATTGCTTGACTCATGTTGACTTGCGCTGACTTGCGTTGACTTACAGGTGGTGGAGGAGTTTGACCGTCAGATCCACTGGGTGGAGATTGACATTGCGGAGGACCCTGAGATAGATATGAACTTGCATAACCTGGTTGCTTGACTCCTGTTGACTTGCGTTGACTCACAGGTGGTGGAGGAATTCGACCGGCAGATCCACTGGGTGGAGATTGACATTGAGGAGGACCCTGAGATTGCCGAGGCGGCAGGGATCATGGGCACGCCTGTGGTTCACTTCTTCAAGAACAAGGAGAAGATTGAGTGAGTGCTTCTCTACCTGTACATAGCCGTGTCTCTCTGATTAGCCTGGTCTGCTGGAGCCAAAGTGGAGCTCTGAGGTGCCTCACAGTCGCAGCAGGGATCATGGGCACGCCTGTGGTTCACTTCTTCAAGAACAATCAAGTGAGTGAATGGCTGATGCTTTGGTCTGGTGGTTTTTGGTCCTACTTAGTATTCCACGGAAATGAGCTGTGACAGGGATCATGGGCACGCCTGTTTTGAGTCGATTCAAAACATGTTTTGGTCTGGTGGTTCTGGTCTGACTTAGTATTCCATGGAAATGAGCTGTGACAGGGATCATGGGCACGACTGTCGTTCACTTGTTCAAGAACAAGGAGAAGATGGAGTGCGTGTGATGAGTGTGATTATTGATGGTTTGGTCCTTACTTGAGACCCTTCTCGAACTGATAGTGGGTGCTTGTCTGCCTGTATATAGTCTTGTCGTCTCGAGTAAATCACTCGTTGACTTGGATCACTCATCCTTTCTTGCTTGCTACCACAACAATATCAGCCCTTCCTCTTCCCTGCTTGACTGCCCGTCCCTCCCCTCCTCCAGTGAGATCAAGGGTGTGAAGATGAAGAGAGTGTACCGGGAATTCATCGAGACACATGTGTAACGCGCTTCTGCAAATCTGGGAGGAAAAACGTCGACCACCAACTGCACATATGTACATGTGCAAGCGCAGGAGGAGAGAACCCCCTAGTGAGAACAAGAAGTACTAGGCCTGAGAAAGAGCAGCTGATGTCAACCCACTCCAACCCACCCAACCCCTCCCAATCAATCCCAACCGCTCCCAAACCATTCGAACCACCTCAACCATCCCAACCCATCCCAACCCATCCCAACCAATCCGTTCTTACCTATCCCTACCGAGCCCAGCCCATCCCATCCCAGCACAGCCAGTCTTAGGATGTAACATTGCAGTAAGCTGTATTGCTATAGCATCCATATGCCTAGCGAGTGTGTGATGTAACTAATATTGCTGTGAGTGCTTGAAAGTATACAGTGTGATGTACAATATGGTATGTTTCACTGACACAGTAACAGTGTGCATTTAACCACAGCAACTTATCACCCTTCTGAATCAATGACAAAGAATGAATGGAATGATGGCATGCCAAACAAATATACCTGCCACGACCACTGCTTCATAATACTCTAGGCCACAAGCCAAAAGGACATGGTTCCTTTCTACCAAGTCTTTGCATAGACAAGCAGACCACTCCACCCACCCACACCACTCAATGGCAATCCATGGGTTAAGTCAGTGTCTACTCCTTTCCATCCATGGGATATAAGTCAGTGTCCCTTGGATGTAGTTTCTTGTTAAAGTGCCTGATTTTGCCACATTATTCCCAATGGGTTGGATTATTCAGGGTCCCTTGGGTGCTGTCCCTCATACCAAGTCAGCATCATCATCATTGTCAGGGATACTCTGACCAATCACCTGCGCCCGGCTGACATCAGCAACTCCAGAGAGGATTTCATCCACAAAGGATGATCCTGCCCTTGCTGCTCGCGACTGCTGCTGCTGCTGCTGCTGCTGCTGCTGCTGCTGCTGCTGCTGCTGCTGCTGCTGCTGCTGCTGCTGCTGCTGCTGCTGCTGCTGCTGCTGCTGCTGCTGCTGCTGCTGCTGCTGCTGCTGGTACTGCAGGGAAGAGCGATGATACTGTTCTCTGCTGCTGCTGGCCCCTGCTCTTCCTCCCAAGCCTCCTGCTCCTGCCATCCCGGGCCTCGCACTGACGCCCAGAGGACGTGCAGCCCGGACCAACGGCACAGGCTCGGCAGGCATTTGCTTAATACCTGCACTCTTACCCCTCTCCAACCCAGCCCCACGCCCCCAGTCTAAACCACTCTCCATTTCCATTCCCCCTAATCCTCCCCCACCCCCTCCCCCTCTCTCTCCCCCTCCTCCCGCCCCGCCCCCTCTCTTCCCCCCACCCACAGCCCCCCAGTCAAGCCCCCGATCCCCAGGGGAGCTGGCCCGGTGGGCTCTTTTGGACTGTAGCAGGCTGCCAGCTGGCATCTCTGCTGCTGCTGCTTCCCTCTGCCGCTTGCGACTCTCAGCTGCTGACAGTGGTGGTGGTGCTGGTGCTGGTATTCGTGTGCCTGATGGTGCGGCAGCACTACCAGCACCAGCCGCACCAGCAGAAGCAACAGTCGCTTTGCTTTTCTGCACCAGATTAGCCCACTTGGAAGGAGCATCACGGGGCGAAGAACCTTGATGTTTTTGCTGGTGCTGCTGTTGATGATGCTGCTGCTGCTGCTGCTGGTACTGCTGCTGGTGCTGCTGCTGCTTCTGCTGGTTAGAGGAAGAAACATTCTGCTGCTGCTGTGTGCCGGTGTGTCTCAGAGGAACATCACGAGAGCTGCTTTTTTCTCCTTCCCTTGCACTCTCCCTCTCCCTATCTCTTGATCCCGACCTACTTCTTTCCCGCATTCTCTCCCGTCCCCTCTCCCTTTCTCTGTCTTTCTCTCTCGTCCTCTCCCTATCTCCTTCCCTCCCCCTCTCCCCTCCTCTCCCCTCTCTCATCCTCATCTCCCTCCTCCGTCTCTCAGCCTCCCTCTTCAGCCCACTCAATCCGTGTCTCCTATCACCTTCCCTCTTCACACACCACATAAAGAACCCCTTCTCACCGTTCTGAATCCACACATTCGTCCTCAGATCCTTTACCACCTCTGGAATGTCAAACACTGGTCTCACTCTTTGCTCCCTTTGCTCTGGTACCCTGCCAGGCTCCCTCTCCCTGCTCCCTTCCCTAGCTTGAACTCTTTCCCTTTCTCTGTCCCTTTCCCTCTGCATTTCCCTGTCTCTTGCCCTGTCCCTATCTCTATCTCTACCTCTATCCCTGTCTCTATCTCTATCACCGTCCTTATCCCTGTCTCTATCTCTATCACTGTCCCTATCCCTGCCCCTGTCCCTGTCTCTGTCCTTCTCTCTTTCCTGGTCCCTGTCCCGGCTCCTTCCCCTGTCCATACTCCTTCCCCACTCCTTGTCTAATTCTCTTTCCCTGTCCCTCATCCTATTTCTTTCCCCACCTCCCGCTGCTTCCCTTATCACTGCCCCATCCCCATCCCCATCCCCTATCTCCCTCTCCCTTTTCCCCTGTCCCTCCACATTCTGAATCCCCTCAGTCGGTCTCGCCCCATGCTCCCTCCCCTCAGGCTCTCTAATCTCTCCTTCTCCCTTCCTTAGCACTGCTCCATCCTCTCTCACCCTCGGCCCTGCTGCTCCTTCAGGAACCTTTTGCGCACGAGACTCTAGCACCACCTCCTCTCGGCTTCCATCCTTGTGCTTCTGGCCTGCTGCCTCATGCATGTGTGCCTTTTCTGCCGTTTGTACTGGCAAACTCGCTTGTTCCTTTACCCTAGCTTTCGCCTCGGCTGCTGCTTTCGCCTCTGCTACTGCTTTCGCCTCTGCTGCTGCTTTCGCCTCGGCTGCTGCTTTCGCCTCTGCTGCTGCTTTCGCCTCTGCTGCTGCTTTCGCCTCTGCTGCTGCTTTCGCCTCTGCTGCTACTTTCACCTCTGTTGCTTCTGCCCCTGTTGCTGCTGCTCCTGTTGCTTCTGCCCCTGTTGCTGCTGCTCCTGTTGCTTCTGCCCCTGTTGCTGCTGCATCCCCTGGTGCTTGCATTGGTGCCCTTGCCTCCTTCGGCCTCTCCTCTCTTGCTCTTTCATCCCTCACTTTCTCCTCCCTCTCTCTCTCCTTCCTTCTCTCCTCTCTTGCTTTCTCCTCCCTCACTCTCTCTTCTCTTGCTTTCTCCTCCTTCACTCTCTCCTCTCTTGCTTTCTCCTCCCTCACTCTCTCCTCTCTTTCTTTCTCCCCCCTCACTCTCTCCTCTCTAACTCTCTCCAGCCTCACTCTCTCCTCCCTTTCACCTCTCCCACTCCTCTCCTCCCTTTCATCTCCCCCACTTCTCCCCTCCCCTCCTTGTCTCCTCTCCCCTTCCTCTCCACGTCCCCTCCCTCCCTCCTCTCCACCACCTCTCTCCCGCTCAGGCAGAAACCTCAAATCAGCCCTCTCTCCCCTCACCAACCCTTCCCTATAAGGCCTTCTCACCCCAAAAACCACCCCTCTGTCCCTCGCATCGCAGAGCAGAGCACGCCAGGGCTTGCTCTGAGCCAAAGTGGCCGCATTCCCCACAATCCACAGCGCTTTTCTCGCTCGAGTCAACGCCACGTTCATCCGCCGTTCATCCGCCACGAATCCGACGGTCCTCCTCTCTTCCCTCGACGGCCGATCGCCGGTGTTAGGCTTCCCAAGGAGAGAAGACGAGGCGGAATGGCGAGAGGAGGAGGGATGGAAAGAGGAAGGGAGGAAGGGGGAAGGAGAGGCACGGACGGTGGAGAAGAGGAGGATATCGACCTCCCTGCCCTGAAACCCGTCGACTGTATTGAATTCCACGTCTGCTGCAGCCCCGCGCCCCAGGGCTCGGCTAAAAGTGTCTCTTAGAAGGAAGAGCTGCTGCTTGTAGGGGGTAATTACACCCACCCTGCCAGGCGCACACTCCTCAGGAAACCTGGTAGAAGAGACACACATGCATACAGTACAGTACAGTATAGTACAGTACAATACAGTACAGGGGGAGAAAAAGATATGTCATTCAGAAGGAAAAGCTGCTGGTTGCAGGGCATATGTCATTCGGATCCGATTCTGCCTGGAACACATTCCTCAAAGAAGCTGTAAAAGTGACGTCAAATTGGGCAGAGGGAGGACATGCAGATGCATAAGGCAGGTGAACACCTCAACCGGGCGAGGTGACTTTTGAGTCGACTCAAAAGTCACCTCATAAGGCAGGTGAACACCTTAACCGGGCGAGTTTACCGTTGCTGCTGCCTGTCCGATTGCACGCCTCAACCCATCCTCAACGTCATACAGAGAGTACGGTAGCAGTGTGAGCACAACAACTTGAATAAACGCTTACCGCTGCTGCAGCAGACGATAGAGCTCCAGAGCAGCCGTCGCTTCCGCCTCGTTGCAGAGGGAAGGGGCTCCTGCCAGCCCTCTTGTCCTCTCCACTCCATCCTCCACATCATACACAGACAGGGTACGGAAGCAGCATAACCACTCCAGAAACTGTATGGATACACACTTACCGTTGCTGCAGCAGCCGATACAGCTCCAGAGCAGCCATTGCTTCCGCCTCGTTGCAGAGAGAAGATGCACCTGCCGGCCCCCTCGTCCTCTCCACCCCATCCTCCACATCAAACACTGCGTAAGGAAGCAGCGGGGCTGTTGACCCCACACTGCGCTGCTGCCTGTGCACGTGTGCGTCCCACCTCATCTTCCACATCAAACACAGAGAGCATGGAAGCAGCTCCCTCAGGCAGCTGCCTGCCGCGTAAGGAAGCAGCTCCCTCAGGCAGTGCCATACAAACAGTCTAGCCTTCAGAGTACTCACCGTTGCTTGAGCAGCAAGTACAGCTCCAGAGCAGCTGTTGCTTCAGCCTCGTTGCACAAAGAAGGGGCGCCTGCCGATTCTCTCGTCCTCTCCACCCCATCCTCCACATCAAACACCGCGTACGGGAGCCGCGTGACCGACCATACTAGCAACCTCTGAGCAGAAACTCACCGTAGCTGCAGCAGGCGGTACAACTCCAGAGCAGCCGTTGCTTCCGCCTCGTTGCACAAAGAAGGCGCTCCTGCTGGCCCTCTTGTCCTCTCCACCCCATCCTCCACATCAAATACACAGTATGGAAGCAGCGGGGCTGTTGACCCCACACTGTGCTGCTGCTGCTCAGCCTGTAACGAATCAGACTGTAATGAGGAAGGCGAGGGGTAATTGGATGATAAGGCTTGGAAGGGGGAGGACCAGGAGGGGGCGGTGACACAGGGAGCGTCAGAGAGAAGGGACTGGTAGAAGAAGGAGGAGGGGAAGCGGGAGATGTGGGGGTTCATGCGGTACTGTGTGGACAGCATGGTAACCGGGTAACCAGACGTCTGCAGTCGCTCGAATAGCGAGCGCTCGTAACGAAGGTTGGATGCGGTACGAGAGAGGACTGTTGCTGGCAGCTGCTTGGGGTCGCCCACCTGGTGGAGAGAGGTGAAGAGGGGTAGAAATGGGTGGAGAGTGAATGGGAAGGAGTATAGAGCGGTGAAGGGGGGTGGGTGGAAGGAGAGGTACAAGAATGGCTGCTAATTCGGCAAAAATGAAACCAAGTCAAACCTCACCATGATGCATCGGCTGCTGATTCGACTGAGCAGCTGGAGGGGAATCAGTGTGGCTGGCTCCAATGCCTGAGCAGCCTCATCGATCACCACTGCATCAAACAACCCCTCCATCCACGACGGCAGCACCCCACCTGACCCTCCACCTGAAAAACCACCTGAAGCTCCTCCTCTCACTCCTCCCCCCATACCTCCTCCCCATCCCCTCCCTCTCGCTCCCAGAACCCCCCCTCCCATCCCTCCACTCCCTCCAAACCTCCCACCACCACCAGCACCACCCATCCTCTCTGCTCCTCCTCCCCCTCTCCCTCCCTTCTCCCCTGCCCCTTCCCAACAGGCAGTAAACACGTCCCCTCCACACGCATTCAATGTAGTCACCACAACTTCTGCCTCTCTTATAATCTCTTTTTTCACCGCTGCCCGGCGCGCTTTATCCTCTTCCGCAGCTGCCCGCCGCTCCTTCTCCGCTGCTGCCAGGTCAGCCGAAATTTCCCGCTTCTTCCGATAGAGCAGATTAAGCCTCGCTTTAATAGTATCCTCCCCATGCGATATTATCTCCTCTGCTATTTCCTCAGCCGTTTTCTCCTCCTCTCCCCCTCCCCTTCCACCCTCCCTTCTCCTCTCGCTCGCACTACCACCCTTCCCTCCATCCGCCTCCTCCGCTCTTCCCTCCTCCCCACCCTCCCCATCCTCCCCTGCGCGTTTCTTGCATCTAAGTGCCTCTACTGCTCTGATCACCTCGAAGGCACGCTCCAGTTGCTGCCTTAACTGCGCCACTCTCTCCCTTACAGCACTCTCAGTTCCTAAACCACCACTCGCACCAGCAGCAGCGTTGCCTGTGCTTGTACGAGTGCCAACACCACCACGAGCGCCACCACCAAACACATCCCTCCAATCCTTCTCACTCAGACCCCCACCACCCTCTCTCCCCCCTTCGTTACTATCACCACTGCCTACATTCACACCTCTCGCTGCTGCTTCTTTCACTAGCCTCTTAGCCACTAGTGTGTCAATGTGAATATGCAGGGAGTCCGGATGGACGGCTGATGCGTTCCCAACGCGCACAACCGACGGCTGAGATCGCGCCGTCTCGTCCTCCCCATCCTTGTCTGTTTCTGCATGGGCTCGGAAGATCCGAGATATGATTTCGTCCACTGCAGCATTGGATTGCGCACACACCAGCACCCTCGCCCGCTGCTTCTTCCCCCCTCCCCCTCCCCCTCCCCCTCCCACTCCCCCTCCTCCTCCCCCTCCACCACTTCCTCCCCCTCCCCCTCCTCGACTCACCCCTCCTCCTCCCCTCACTCCTCCCCTCACTCCTCCTCTCATCCCCCCTCTCGCCAAATCCATGGCAACAGCAGCATCTTGCCACATACGCGCCATAGCAGTTGCAGTGCTCACCCTTTTCCCCTCCCCACCCAACCTCCCTCCCACTCCTCCTCCACCCCTCAACCCCGGCCCCTTCCCAGCCCATCTAACCCTCGGCTCTTTCAAATCCCAACCCACACCCCTGTCTTCTCCTGCTCCCGAGTGCTCCTGATTCCCAGAGTTTACTCTTTTCTTGCAGGCTAGTAAGGCTGTGATGATGGCAACGATGGTGCGGGTCTTGCCTGTGCCTGGCGGACCCTGCACTAGAACCAGCTGCCGATTTGCCTCGGTACTCCCACCACCACCATCGGCACCAAAACCAGCAGCAGAAGCAGCAGCAGCAGCGGCAGTGGCAGCAGAACGACCAGCAGCAGCACTGCTGAAGGCCGAATCGTTGCAAGTTGATCCGATTCCATCCTTGTTCCCTCCAACGGCCTGTCGTATGGCTTGCAGCTGATGCCGGTTGAACTGCGACTCGTACTTGTGCCTGAGAGAGAGCGGCAGGGGCGTTCCTTCCAGGGATGCAGCTGCAGCGTGGGAATCAGTGGCATCAGCGGCACCAGTGCCAGCACCAGCACCAGCACTAGCAGCAGCACCAGCAGCAGCAGCAGCACCAGCACTAGCACCAGCACTAGCAGCAGCACCAGAAGTGGCAGCAGTGAAGCAGCTGGGCTTAAGCAGAGGTGGCAGCAGAGGCAGGTACTGGGCAGCAGCGAGCGCCTGGAACTCGCGCATGTGCGGCACGAGGGAGAGGATGCGCGTGACGTGCCAGCAGCTGCGGTCCCCCATCAGCTGCTTGCAGCGTGCGAGGCGGGGTGAGGCGGTGGGTGGCAGGAAGAGACGTAATTGGATGACCATCGCTCGAGACTCCCTCTCGTATTCTCTCCTCTCCACCTGGGGAAAAGAGATAGCAGGACGGTGAAAGTGGGGTGCGGTGGGGTGAGGTGTATTGGGTTTGGCAGTGGGCGGGAGGAAGAGGCGCAACTGGATGATCATTGCCCGAGACTTCCTTTCATACTCCCACCGCTCTACCTGAGGAGAAACGGGAGCACATGACGCATCTGCTATGCTGCCGCAGCAGCATCACACCCAGCCACAGCTGCCGCAGCCGCCGCAGCAGCAGCATGATCAGCCACTTTACGGGTGAGCAGCACGAGATCATTCTCCCCACAAAACGCCCGCATTCATATCAACCTTGCCTTTGATGATTCTCACCTTGGCCGGCACATGAAGCGTTGCTGCAGAAGCATCACCACCAGCCACAGCTGCTGCTGCAGCAGCATGGTCGATCACTTTACGGGTGAGCAGCACGAGATCATTCTCCCCACAGAACGGTCCCACCCCACTCACATCACTCTCACATGAAATTATTCTTACCTTGGCCAGCACATGAAGCTGCTGTGCTGCAGCACCAGCTGCAGCAGCCGCAGCAGCAGCCGCAGCAGCAGCGTGGTCGGGCACTTTCCGAGTGAGCAGCACGAGATCATTCTCCCCACAGAACGCCCGGGACCCTGATGAAGCTCCTGGTTCGGCCATGAACCTCGCAAGCTGGAAATCATCCACCCTCTCTATCGACAGCATTCTTAGAGCTCCCACATATGCCACCTCTGCCCCTCCCCTCCTCTCCCCTGCTCCCCCTCCCGCTCCTCCCCCTCCTCCTGCTCCTCCCGCTCCTCCCATTCCTCCCGCTCCTCCGCCCCCACCCGAACCTACAGCATCTTCGTACGATCGCCGAAGCTGCGCTTTAAATTCCTCCAGGACTAGTGGCTGGAACACCCGAACGTACTCCGCCACCGAACCAAACTCGTCCGGCACCCGAACCAACCCCCGGCTCGCCGAACCTGCAGGCTCGGAACCGGACACCACCTCGTAATAATCCATAGCCAGGATCTTCCGGAACCAATCGTCTAGCTTCGGCAGCGGCGGCTTCTTCCAAGCCATCCAGTCCTGGATGCCGAGCCTACCCGCCAAGCCTGCCGGGCCGGTCCGGTCCGAGCCTAGTGCGATGGTCTGGTGGCGTTTGATCTGGTCTGCAACGCGGTTCATGCCCTCCAAACCACCTATCGAAAGCTTCCCACCTGGCCTCCTTGCCTTTGCTGCTTCTCTCTCCAACTCTGCATCCAAGTCATCATCTGCTAACACCTCTAGAAGCACCGGTGCCTTTGCTTTTCCTGCCCCTGCTGCTCCTGCTGTCCCTGCTGCCCCTGCTGCTCCTGTTCCTGCTCCTGCTCCGCCTGCCCCTGCTGCTGCGGCTGCTGAACGTGCCACTGCTGGTGGGATAGGCACTTTGCCAGATAAGCCTGCATCAGATAAACCTGCACCCGAGGGTGGTTCCACAGTAAACGCAAACGGATCCGCTGCTGCACCAGCCCCCCCTGCCCCTCCCTGCTGCTGCTGCTGCTGCTTCAGCCTCTCCGCCAGCTGTCGCTCTCTGATTTGCCGCTGCACGTCCCCCAGTGCACTGTTCCTCTGCTCCACCTCTGCCTTGTGCGACTCTCGAATCGCAGTCAGCTTGCCCCCTCTGCCTGCCCCTTTCATTACACCTGGCTTTCTGCTTAGAAGGCTCCGCGGCTTCTTGAAAACGACCCCTCCTGCTCCAAGCCTTGACCCTGCACTCGATGCTCCCATGCCTGCACCTGCAGTGCCAGCAGAAGTTGTGCCGGCGGCGGCTGTAGCACCAGCTGCAGCGCCAGCACCAGCGGCTGCTGCAACCTGCGTGCGCAGGTATTTTTCGAGAGTGTTTCGGCGCCGCTGCTTTGCTGCTTGCGAGGAAAGGAGAGAGGAAAAGGGAGAGGCAGCATGAGAGGAGGAGGATGCAGCGCCTGCGGAGAACGGAAAGGAAGGCGCTGACTTTGCAAATGCACCTTCCCCAGATGGAGTCTCAGCCTCTGCGGCCCCACCTTCACTGCCTCGCTTCAGCTGCCCTATCGGCACCTCATCCTCCTCCTCATCCTCCTCCCCCATCTCCTCCTCCTCTTCCTCCTCCTCCCCTTCTTCCTCCTCCTCCTCTTGGTCCTCCTCCTCGTCCTCCTCCATCGCTTCCTCTGCTAGCTCCTCCATACTCGCATCACCCGCTCTCTCTTTCTCCTCCTCTCCCTTTAATTCCTGCTTCGCTGCTTTCACCCCTGTAGCATCCATCCCACCAGCACCCATCCCAGAACCGACCTCCTCAATTTCGTCTAGATCTATAGTCTCGACTATTCCTCCCTTCCCCTTACCGGCAGTCCCCTTTTCCACTCCTCCAACACTCCAACCCCCACCCCAACCCACTCTCTCCTCCCTCAACCTTCCCCTTCTCTCTTCCTCATCCTCACCCTTCCTTTCCTCCTGCCCCTTACCCCTCTCCTCCTCCTCGTCGTCACTAAACAAGTAAATCAAATCATCAATCCCTTCTCTCCCACTCTCCTCCTCTCCCTCCTCCCCATCCACCACCCCCCCATCCACGGACGGAACTCTCAGGTTCGGTAGTGGCTGCTTCGGCGGAGGCTCGGCATCCAAAGCTGAAACAAGCGACGCTGCATGCTGTGCTGCTGCCAGAAGCCTATCCTTCTGCTCTTGAGACAAACTCACACCAACACTTAGCTTAATCCCAGCAATCAGGCAGCTACAGAAATCCCTCAGCAGAACAGCCCATTTCCACCTCCCTGAAATCCCACCTCCCCCTCTACCACCACTACTGTTGTTCCTGCTAATACCGTCACCACTTTTGTTACGATCTATAATATGGTTACCACCAGTGATGCTGTTCCACATAACCTGTAACGCCTTGAGCACTGTTGCTGAAGCATCCACCCATCGATGCAGTATAGACCCATCCTTTACAGTCACACAAGCTGCCACGTCAGCCACCCAATCAGCTTCCTCCTCTCTCCCTCCAGGCCCCCCACCACCCATACCTCCATCCCCGAACCATGCGGTCCGGACCCCTACCGAGCCTCCACCCCAGGTCTGGCCGATGCTCCGTTCCAGCAGCAGGTTCGGAATCTCCAGGGAAGAAGCAGCGAGGGGGAAGAGAGAGAGTTTACCATCGCAACCCATACTGGAATTTTTGAAAACCCCAGGGGCAGATGGATGGGGGAGGGCACTGGTGCCTGTAGTAGCAGCAGTGGCAGTAGCTGTACCAGTAGCAGCAGCAGAGGTGGTGGTGGAACGAGAGGAAGGGAGGAGGTGGGTGACGGCTAGGGGCAGGATCTCAAAGAGCCGGACAAATACGAGCTTCTGTTGAAGGGAAAGGCAGGGACGGAAGGGAAGGAGGAGGGGGGTGTAAAGGGAAGGAAGAGAGTGAGACTCTAAGGGAGGAACGAGGAGGTGGGTGACGGCTAGGGGCAGGATCTCAAAGAGACGGACGAAGACGAGCTTCTGGTGAAGGGAAAGGCAGGGAGGGGGAGGGAAATGGAGAAGAAAGAGAGAGGCATAGGCAATGGTATATGTATCCACGCGTATCAAGACACCCATTTCAGCCTTAAAAAAAAAAAAAAAAAAAAAAAAAAAAAAACATACTGAGAGATGTTCGTGGGAGGTTACCTGGCCGCCAGTGGTGATGGTATCAGCACACGCCCTGCAGCGCCACACGAGGAAAGCCACCATGGGCCACAGCACACGAGATACATCCCACCCCACCGCTCTCCACACCTCCTCCCTCACCCTCTCCTCCCGCTCCCACTCCCTTGCCTTCTCCTTCGCCCTCCCCTCCTCATGTTGCTGCTCCAGTTTTACACCAGCAGCAGCAGTGCCATCGGCACCACCAAAAGCACCAGGCGCGGCAGCAGCAGCAGCAGCAGCAGCAGCAGCACCTGTCCCACTTGGCTTGGTAAAAAACTTCTTGATCCCCATTTGTGCCCCGACCCCTACCCCTGCTCCAGCCCCACCCTTCCCAAAACCTCCAGACTTAGCACCCAAGCTGGGTGAGGGAGGAGAGGGGCTGGGCAGAGGGGTGGAGTGCGGTGGAGAGATGCAGGAGAGGTGTGCGGAGGGTGGGCCGAGGAGCTTGGAAGCGTAGAAGAGAAGGCCTTGGATGATTGATGCCTGCTTGCCTGTGGGATCCAGGGAGAGCTGGTGAATGGAAGGGGCATGGGGAGAGAAGGGGCGGAGATGAGGAAAAGAAGGGGCGACGAAGGGGAGCACTGGAGCACGGCAACGGAAGGGGCAGAATAGAAGGCCCTGGATGATCGATGCCTGCTTGCCTGTGGGATCCAGGGACAACTGGTAGGTGGGGTGGGGACGTGGGAACAGAAGGGACGGAACAGAGCATGATCAGAGAAGGTAGGAGCAGAAGAGAAGGCTCTGGATGATTGATGCCTGCTTGCCTGTGGGATCCAGGGCGAGCTGGAGGGACGAGGTATGGGCAGAGCATGAAGATGGGGGGATACAAGGTGGGAGACAGGGAGGTGAGAGGGTAAAGTGAGGAGCTTGGAAGCGTAGAAGAGAAGGCCTTGGATGATTGTTGCCTGCTTGCCTGTGGGATCAAGAGAGAGCTGGTGTGTGTGTGAGTAGGGCAGAGGAATGGGAAGGGGAGGGGTGCACATAAGGAAGGACAGGCAGAAAGAAAGTGAGGAATGGAAAGCGAAGGGGTAATAGATGGTAGGAACAGAAGAGAAGGCCTTGGATGATAGACGCCTGGTAGCCTGCGGGGTCCATGGGAAGCTGGTGGTGGGGGGAGGAGAGCAGTCATCAACGCACAACAGAGGAGGAGGAAGAAGTCTGCTTTTGAGTCGACTCAAAAGCAGACTCATTACACGCGGTTTTTTTTTTAGTCGACTCAAAAGCAGGGGTCCATGGGAAGCTGGTGGTGGGGGGAGGAGAGCAGTCATCAACGCACAACTGAGGAGGAGGAAGAAGCGGGAGCAGCCGAATACCTCATGTTCATCACATCACAAGAACATTGCACCAAAATGTTACCACAGCAGCAGCAGCCTTGACACACGCCTGAACAAGCTGGGGGCAGGCAGAGGCAGCGGAGGAGATGATCCGATACGATACGATCTCCTGCACCCATCACAGTACCCATTTGATTGATTTCTCACCACAGCAGCCGCCTTGGCGAATGCCCGAACGAGCCCACGGGCAGAGACAGAGGAGGAGGCGAGGAAGGCGAGCTGGTGGTCAATGCGGTGGTCCCTGCAGAGGGAGGTGAGCAGCTCACGCGCCATGTCCCTGTTGGGCTGGAGGGGGAGGAGTGAAGATGGGGAAACGGGAAAGGTAAGAGATTAGAGGCAGGGGAGGCGGCGAGGAAGGCGAGCTGGTGGTCGATGCGGTGGTCCCTGCAGAGGGAGGTGAGCAACTCTCGAGCCATGTCCCTGTTGGGCTGGGTGCGTGAAAGAGTGGGGAGGGGAGGGAGGCTTGCAATGAGAGGAGGGCGAAATGATGGCGGTCAGGCAAAGCTCACGAGCCAAGCCACATGCCTTGTTGGGCTGGGGAGGACGGGTTGAAGAACAGGGGCGAAGGAAGGCAAGGGAAGGGTGAGGCAGAGTAGATGGGAGGGGAAAGGGTGGGGGGAGAGGGAGAGGGGGTGAGGTAAGGAAAGGGGAAGATGCAAGAGCCTTGAGGTCCATTAGTTGATCAGCAGTTTCAGCTCAAATTAAAACAGCGGGATGGGGAGAGAGGAGGCGAACTGACCAATTGGGAGTCGATGAGGAGGAAGATGAGAGGCTCTGCCAGGCTGGCATGCCACGTCAGCAGCTTGAGACGATTGGCGCCTCTGATCTGGACAAGGCAAGAGGACACGCTCCTGTGATACAGTGACACGTGGCATGGGAAGGGAGCAGCAGGAAGGCAGGAGACAACGGAGGAATGGAAGGGTTGTAATGGTACAGAGAGGTGGAGCAATAAAGTGGGGGAAATTGAAAGGGAGGAATATGGGGGGGCTGGGCGGGTGAAGAGGGGGGGGAGGAGAGCAGACAGGAGGGTATGGTGAGTAGGAAGAAGGATACGGAATACGAAACACACACACACACACACCCACCCACCCAACCCACTCACCTTTGCAGAATGACGCACAACTCCTCCTCATGTTCTGCTGCTGCCACCGCATTCACACACCCAGCTTTCGCCCCTCGCCCCCCTCCCCCAGCCCCAGGAGCCAACCTCCAGTGCAGAGCCGCTGTAACCACTGCACTGCTGGTAACCGCCGGGTTGCCGAGTTTACTCCCGGCAGCACCAGCAGCACCAGCAGAAGCAGCAGCACCTGTAGAAGCAGCAGCAGCAGCGGCGGAGGCCGAGAGGCAGAAATGCCCTGCCGCCCAAACCGCTGCTCTGAGTAACGGTTTTGGTAACCACTGGGGGGGAGTTCGCTCTAGTAGCTCCAACCAGAGCGCCGGGGCACAATGCCACCTGTCGCTCTCTGCTGCCGCCACCTCAGCAAGCCTGTCCAGCTGGTCTTGAGGCAAACCCTCCGAGATTGAGGAAGAGGAGGAGGTGGAGGAGGAGGAGGAGGGGGTGAGGGAGGCGGTGGAGGAAGAGGAAATTTGGCCTGTGCTGGTGTCAGCAGCACCAGCAATACCAGCACTACCACCACCACCTCCCTCCCCTCCCTGCCCTCCATGCCCTCCCTCCTCCCCATCCCCTGGGCAAACCAGCGACCGCGAAAACACGCTCGGCGCACCTGCCGCAGCAAACCCCGAGCCTGCAGCCGGACCTGAGCCCGGACCTAGTGCCGAAGCACCAGCGAAAGCTCGGGCGAGAGCGAGGGAGGTGAGGGCAGAAGTATCGGCAGTGATGATTGCCTGCGCGAGGTGGATGGCAGGAAGGCGGAGGGGGTCGGGGAGAGATGCGTCCTTGACTGCCCCCACGAGGGGCGGCCCCCAGATGTCAGCACAGTCAGTGGGAGGGAGAGGCGGAGTGAGGAGGTAGGAATGGAGGATGAGGCTGAATGCAATCTGATGGGAGGGATGCGAGTGGGGGAAGGGGGGACAGGGGGGAGGTGACAGCAGCATAGCAACACAGTCTTGGCTGGGGTGAAGGAAAATGGGGGGAAAGGGTTGAAGCTGAAGAAGGGGAGAGTGAAGCTGAAGTTATGTAACCCAACAAATTAGAACAAGAGACAGAGGAAAACCCTTACCCGGCGGGCGATCTTGATGGTGGTGGTGCTGAAGTTGCGACTGTTGGGCAGCTGGATGAGCAGGAAGAAGAGGATGCTGCGCCGCTGCCTCTCGAATTCCTCCGTTTCCAGCGATTCCACAGACTGATAGGCCAGGAAACAACGTGTAAAAAATACAAAAAAATACAATATATATATATACATAAATATCACAACAACAGTTATCGAAGCAGGATGTGGTTACATTTTTTTCATTTGATCGAAACAAAAACGAGGAGGAGAACGGCTTTAGAGTCAACTCAAACCCCACAGTGAGCGGGAGCATGAGGACTTCAATCTTTCAACAAGAATGGGGATAACGATGTCAAGGACGACTTGGACATGAACGACAGGCAAGATTTGGACAGACCTGCAGGAAGGGCGGCAGGAGGTCAAGGAGAAGCTTGTGGGTGGGCTCGTGGGAGGAGTTGAAGCACTGCGAGATGAGAGTGTTGCGAACGACACCGGGTGGGAAGGCCGAGTGCAGCCAGAGCTTGTAGCCTGGGAGAGTTAGCGTGGGGGAAAGGTGAAACGGAGGAGAAGGGGGAGGAGTTGAAGCACTGGGAGATGAGCGTGTTGCGGACCACACCGGGTGGGAAGGCCGAGTGCAGCCAGAGCTTGTAGCCTGGAGGGAAGACAATGCAGCGGGTGAGGGAAGAGAGGGGGGGTGGCGGGTGGGGGAGAGGGGGGTTGGGGGCGGTATGTGGGAGGTGGGAGGTTGGCAGAAGGGAGTTGGGAAAGTGGGCAGCAGGGAGTTAGGGAGGTGAGCAGCAGGGGAGTGGGGAGGTGGGGGACAGTGAGTGGGTTGGTGGTGGAGCAGGGACACTCAAAAAGCCTTATTCAAAAACAGGATCACCCGTTCTACCCACCCACCTGTGACTTGCAGCATCATTCGAAGACAAGCTAGGGCGGGTCGGAACACTGAAGTGTCCTCCCCCACGTGGTTCAGCACTATGCTCACAAAGGCAGGATAGCGCTCCACCACCCCCTCATCCAGAGCTGGAGGGGCCATGAGGGATAGGCTGCGAAGGGGATGGGGGTTGGAAGAGGTTGGGAGAGGTTGAGAGAGGTTGAAGGGTTGCAGGTGGGAAAGGCGATCGGCATGAGGGAGGAGGAGAGCACACAGGCAGGGTAGCGCTCCACCACCCCCTCGTCCAGTGCTGGTGGCGCCATGAGCGATAGGCTGCGAACATTGGATGGGGGAGGGAATGAATGGGCGGATGGGAGAGGAGAGCCATGAGCCATCAGGGAGCGCACACGCACACGCACACGCATACGCACACGCACACGCACACGCACACGCAGGGTAGTTTTGAGGTGCCTCAAAACTAGAGCCATGAGCCATCAGGGAGCACACACGCACACGCACACGCACACGCACACGCAGGGTAGTTTTGAGGTGCCTCAAAACTAGAGCCATGAGCCATCAGGGAGCGCACACGCACACGCACACGCACACGCACACGCACACGCACACGCAGGGTCGTGTTCCATCACCCCCTCGTTCAGAGTAGGTGGCGCCATTGGGAAGGGATGGAATGGAGAGCAGGGCGTGGTGACTTCAAGTCACCTTGAAAGCACACACACACTAACATGGAAATGTGAATGCACACCCACACTCACATGGTGAGAAGCCCCTGCCACATGTCCTCCTTTGAGTGCACCACATGAGGCCACTCGCCCCCCCCCCTCTCAGCATGATTCATGTATATTCTAAACGACACCGAATCTAATCCCCACACCACACTCACATGGTGAGAAGCCCCTGCCACATGTCCTCCTTTGAGTGCACCACACGAGGCCGCTCGCCTCCTTCCCTCCCACCCCCAACTCCTGCTCCCCCTTGCGCACTCGCAGGGGCAGTGGCGTTACCAGCAGCACCGGCTCTTCCCAAGCCTGTTCCTGTGCCTGCTCCCGAGCCTGCTCCCGTGCCAGTAGCGGGTGTGCCTGTATCGAAGAGGTCATACTCAAGTGCGTGCATGCACTGCTGCAGGAGAGGGTCGATGGGTCTCAAATCTGCTGCTGTTCTGTTAACGGTGGGGGAGAGGTGTTAAGAGGTGAAGAGAATGAGAGGGCAGGAGTTGAATAGGATGCAAAGAGGTCGTACTCCAGAGCGTGCATGCACTGCTGCAGGAGAGGGTCGATGGGCTTCAAATCTGCTGCTGTTCTGTTAACGGTGGTGAGGGGAGAGAGACAGCGACAAGGTACATGCCGAAACAGTTTGCTTTCGAAGCTGTTCAAATGTCAAGGAGATGGAAAGGTTTGCTTTTGAGGCGGCTCAAATGTCTAGGAGATGAAGGGACAGAGATGGGATCAAGTATACGCACTTGAAGAGGCCGAGGGGCTTGGCTAGAGTATATACAATCGCACGGGTGTCCTTGTTGGGGTGAAGCATGAGATGGTACAGACCCTGAGGGAGAGGCAATCGGAGTTCGAAAATAGATGAGAGGGAAAGGAGGATCATTGTACAGGGTGATAACTGGGTAAGACAGCTCCTGAGAGAGTGTCGTTGTTGGGGTGAAGCATGAGATGGTACAGACCCTGAGGGGTGGGGAGGGGGGAAAGGAGGATGATAGACGATGGTATACACCATGGCTCCAGTGTCTTTGCTGAGGTCCTGTCTGTGGGGTATATACAATCGCACGGGTGTCCTTGTTGGGGTGAAGCATGAGATGGTACAGACCCTGAAGGGTGGGGTGGGAGGAGGTGTGGGGGGCTTATAAAAATTGGGAAGAAGTACGAGAGAAGCGGTGACAATAAGAAGCAGGTTGATGGCAGTACTACAGGCATCACTCACTGGGTATCGCTGTCCTGGGGTGAGAGAGAGGTCCAAGTGTCTCTCCACGAGCACCAGAGCAGAGCCATGCCATGCCATGCCATGCCATGCCATGCCATGCCATGCCATGCCATGCCATAACATGCCATGCCATGCACTGACTGACCAGACCTCACACCATGCCATACTATGCATAACACTCACTGAGTATCGCTGTCCTGGGTTGAGGGACAAGTCAAAGTGTCTCTCTACAAGCACCAGAGCAGGGCCAGCGAGGGAAAACACCTCTGCATCCCCCAGTGACAGCCCTACCAGCCGAGAGCTTGAGGTGAACCAGCTCCTGCTCACTCACAGGGTGTTGCTGTCCTGGGGTAAGGGACAAATCAGAGTGCCTTTCCACGAGCACCAGAGCATGGCCAGCTAGGGCGAAGACCTCTGCATCCTCCAGCACACGCGGGTACATGAGCAACTCGAGCATGAGACACATCACTCACTTACCGGGTACCTTTGTCCCGGGGTGAGTGAGAGGTCAAAGTGCCTTTCCACGAGCACCAGAGCAGGGCCGGCAAGAGCGAACACCTCGGCATCCCCCAGCACACGCAGGTACATGAGCAACTCGAGCATGAGGCAAATCACCCCCGGCCCGTCCCTCTCCCTTTACACTGACTCACCGGGTAAGGGATAAGTCGAAGTGTCTTTCCACGAGCACCAGAGCAGGGCCGGCGAGGGAAAACACCTCTGCATCCTCCAGCACACGCGGGTACATGAGCAGCTCAAACATGAGACAGATCACCCCCTGCCCTCCCCACAGACTCACCGGGTATCTCTGTCCCGGAGTGAGGGATAAATCGAAGTGTCTCTCTACGAGCACCAGTGCAGGGCCAGCGAGAGCGAACACCTCTGCGTCCTCCAGCACACGCGGGTACATGAGAAGCTCAAACATTAAGCAGATAACTCCTGGCCCGTCCCTTTCCGCGTCTAGCACCTGCCCACCACTGCCACTGCCAGCACCACTCGAAACACCCCCAGAACCGGCTCCAACACCACCACCCGTCCCGCCACCCGCCCGACCCACCAGCACCCTCAATTCCCCCGCCACCCTCTCCTCATCCAACCTCCTCAGCGTCTCCAGCACAGGCCCCACCACTTCCTCCACATATTCCTCCTCATACACCCGCTTGGCCGCGTGGTATCTGGCCACACAGCGCGTGCAGGCGCGCATCTCCCCAGCCATGCGCGCCCAGAGCGCGTGCAGAGTGGCGCGCGTGTCGGGCGGGCCGGAGTGGTAGTGGTAGAAAGGTTCTATGAGCGGTTGAGTGAGAGAGCGGTGGCGACACCACAGGTGGGAGGAGGGGGGGCGCGCAGAGAGGAAGGCAAAGGCTTCCGTAAACCTGGGAGGGAGGGAGGGAGGGAGGGTAGTACAGGGGGGATGGGGTTTTCTGAATGAATTGGGTAGGCCGGATTGGTAGTGGTAGACTGTTTTGAGGCGACTCAAAATCGAATTTTGGGGCATCTCATAACTCAAAGCAGGTGGAAGGATCATCACGTCCCTGATCACAACGTGGCGTGGAAGGAACTCAACATGCTTGAGTTGACTCAAACGTCACCTTCCAACACCTTGTCTCCCTACCATTTCCCCTTAAAAGCCATCAGTTTCTCCTCTCCCCTTACCCATACCTTCCCCAGTACACAATCACAAGATTTCTAACATTTCCCAAGAACGGAGTCTGCTGTCCCTAACATTTCCCCTTTAGAGCCATCAGTTTCTCCTCCGACCTTACCAATGCCCCCCCAGTACACAATCACTAGTGACGCATTCTCCTGTCCCTACCATTTGCCCTTGAGAGCCATCAGTTTCTCCTCCGCCTCGTCATCCTCCGGAAGTTCACCCAGCGCCTCCTCTATCCGCTCCCACCGCGCCTGCAGCTGCTTCTCCGCCGCCTCAGGGGTAAGATTCCCCCCCCCTGAACCCCTTCCGCTCCCCCCCGCTCCCTTTCCAGACCCCCCCGCATCCGCTTCCCGCTTTCCGCCAGATGATGGCGCCATGCTGAGTGTATCAGCGTTGCGGCTTTGCGTTTACACTAACACAATGACGCTGCCGCGGTTATACGATACCAAAACTGCTTGAAGCGAATCTGTGGTGCCTGTCCAATCATAGCCAGTCTTGAGGGTGTACAGTTCAGCCTGACCGCGTGCACTCAGCCTGACCGCGTGAATTTCAGCCTGACCGCGTGCACTTCAGCCTGTACGGCCAAGACTGATCAAACGTGGATTGGTGGGGAGTCTCATAGCACGCTGATGAGACGAACATATCATGCTTCAATCAGCCTGCAGTATTTCCTCCACTATACTTCCTCAAGTGTAGTCTGTGGTTGAAGACATGATCGTTGCGGGAATTGTAACACGCTGATGATGATGAGTGGTCTGATGACGAGAGAGGGATGGTATAACGAAACCCGTTTGCCAACAACTCCTTATCGGAGAGTTGTACACCAAATGAGCTCGTAGATACTCTGGATCAACTTCAACAAAGATCCGCGACGTGTATAAGGCAGGGATAAATTCGATACTTTCGAGGTAGCATATGCCTTCCTCGCGTCCTCTAACCCGAGCTCCAAGTAAGACCAGTCATCTGTCCCGCCGCCATGATGTGCGGATGTGATCACCTTTTTATACCTTGAGAGTGTCAGAAGAATCCCTTCAGGTTGCCATTATGAGTTGGAGGTGGTGTCACAAAAGTTTGTTTGAATGCGGCTTAGTTCGGTTCGTTGCGTTTCAGAGAGGTCCATCTCGTAAGTGGATGTCTTGGGTTGGATTTGGAGCGATATGGAGTGTTTTGGGACAGCTATTGGTTTCCCTCGATGGTGCTGTGAGCGTCACGATGTTGGCGGGAAACGAACTGAACTGGTCATGTCGGATAATTTATACAGTGAGTGGCATTCATAATTCAGAATGCTTACTTCATAAATGAGATACACTACAGAACACTTTCCAGCCCACTCTAATCATTACAATGTACACATACTATCTAGCATCTACTCAATGGAGCACTCAAGAGGAACTCCATCCTCTAACACCAGCTCCATCGGCTTGGCTCCCTCCACCGTCTCTCCCTTCACTTCTCCCACCACCTTCAAGCAGAAGTCGACATCAATAGAGTCACACCCAGGGCTTTGCAGCGCTTCATGCAGCCACGCCCTGCACTGATCCACCACTTCAGTCACATCCATTTGACTCAACCGCTTTCCAAATCCAGAGCAGTGCTTTCCTTCCACTTCCTCTAACCCACAGCCACCACCATCACCACCACCACCAACCACTGCCACGTCAGCTCCTTCCCAGAAGATATCACATTCTCCAAAACCTCCTTCCGGAAGTTCTGGAAGATCCGTCAAATCCAGCAGCAGCGGAATCTGTGCAAGCTCCCCCAGAATCTCGTTAACATCAGCCATGGAATCTCCACCAGTTCCGTCAGCCAAAGAACGACCTTTTCTTTTCAATCCAGACCGTTTCTTGCTCCCAGCAGCACCAGCATCAGCTTTCGCCGTCCGCTTCCCAGTCAACAGGAACATCCGGTCCTCCTCTGACTTGCACTGACATGCGAGGCACTGACACGGCGTTTCATCTGACGTGGCGGGTTTCATCTGCTGCTCCAGAGCCTCCCAAAGACCCCCCTCTTCTGATCCCGAGTCGACTTCCAGTTCTTCATCTGCTGCTAGAACCGCGGAAGCAGGGGAAGGAGGATCCGCACGCCTTACTTTGGATGGCTGCTGCTGCTCCTGCTCCTGCTGCTGCAGCGGCTGCTGTTGCTGCTCCTGCTGAAATCCACCACATACTGTAGGTGAAAACTCCAAGTCCCGCTTCCGCTTCTTGAGAGGGGACTCGTCAGAGTTCAGTCGTTCGTGGGAACGAGCGACAGCAGCACTGGGAGCAGCAGACGGAGCGACAGGAGCAGGAGCGACAAGAGCAGCAGGAGCGGAGGGGATTTGCGTTCCGCTGCCGCCACACCGGCGCAGAACAAGACCGAGCGGCAGCTGCAGCAGAGAGATGCGCATTGGCTGCAGCGCCGGCGGCGGAGGGGGAAGCGCCACGTGGCCTTGCTGAGGTGTCACCTCAGGCTGCGACGCGACGTTGTTAGCCAAAGCGGGAGCGACAAGAAGCTCCTGAAATTCGTCGCCTGCGACGCCGACCGACGAGAAATCGACGTCGTCACCGCTAGCATCCAGCGAGTCGAGAAGAAAGTCGCTAACATCGCCGAGCGTGTAACCCGAGTCGCCGAAATCCACATCGTCAAGGTATGCATCGCCGAGTTTGCTCTCCTGAATCACGCGACTCCCCTCCACAAAGTCCGGTTTCACTGATCGGGTCTCCAAGTTCTGGTTTACGTCATTCGCGGCAAGCTCGGTGGTAGTCAGCTCACCGTGAGTCAGATCAACGGCAGTCAGCTCGTCGGCCAAATCGGCCTCGGCGATCAGGCTCGTCTCGTCCGTCAGATCCAAGTTCAGAATCCAATCAGCGCCGTCCGCTGACAAACTCCCCGCAGCAACCGCAGCAGCAGCGGCAGAGGATGAGCTCTCCTCGACAATAAGATCTTCCAAGTTTCCGAACGCGTCCACAGGGGGCTCGTCAACGTTAACGTCACTGTTAACGTCCAGTTGAATGTCGGACGGAGCAGACAGGAACTCGGGAAGTGGGAGGTCGTCGGGGAAAGAGATTCGAGCGGAGGTCGCCAGCAGTTCGGTGGAAGCGTCGTAGTTGAAAGCAGCAAACTCGTTCGGCATTCACGAAAAGAGCACGAAAAAAAAGCGGTGCTTGAGCGATCAGAGAACGACCGGACAGCGAGGCTTGGCTCTGCGGAAGCTGAGATGAGGAAACTCAACGGCGAGACAGTCTACTTGCGAAGAGTTCAAACACAGAAGGGCACAGAAAGATAAAAACAGACTATCAAAATATGTACGAAGTGGGCCTACTAGTAGGCCGAGCATTGCTCAAAGGAGCAGTTTGAGGCGTCACATGCGGAGGGAAACACACTAGCAGAGCTGACATTACGTTGCTGGGTTTTCAGTGGTGTGCAAAACGGTTTGATTCAGTATGATCGGTTGAAGCGGTGTGCTGTGCTGATTCCAAGGTTTAGACAGCAGCGACGCGAAATGCCAGGGGGAGCATCGCAATTTGAATCGACTCCGACAAATCCCCGGAGGAATGAGGGTCGCAGGGAATGCAATGCAAGTAATCTGAGTCGCAGGGATTTCGCAAAGGAATTTGGGTCGCAAAGAATGATCGGAGAATTTTGGTCAAATAGCGCGGGGGGGATTCCTGGGCGACTTAGGCGGAGGCCCCCCGAAAATTCCGAGGGCCAATCTACGAGCGATGGCGGGAAAAGTGCGGTGAGTAGTAGCTCCCCATTGGCCGCGGGCGGGAACGTAAAAGTTTATGCCCGTTCGGAAACCGACACAGAAGCCAGGAGCAGCAGTGCGATAGTGAATTGTGCAGTGGTACGGTTCGGTAGTGATGGGCCAGAAAATAGGTAAAGCGCTTACAGGTACTACATGATATTAATTGTATGAACAAATGTAGTTTCCGCAACCACCACGCTGTGAGGGGCTCTATTGGCGAATAGCCATCCAGACCGTCTCAAAAATATCAACTGCATGCCTCATTGTGATGATGGAGCTATGGACACTGCCCGAAACTGATTCACACTCTTCGCCCCTGCTTCAAGCTCTTTCTTCTCCCTCTTGCTGTCCCAACCATGTTCCTTGGCCAGCAGTTTGACCACACGCGGCAACGCTTGCATTGCAGCATCAGCATCGAGGAAGGCGATACGCGATCGGCGGCAAAGAAAGTCCGCAGCAGTCTCGCAGAACTCGTTTCGGGCAGCAAATACCACTTCAGCCTCAATGTCGGGGAACCCTGGCGCAAGGCGCTCGGCCAAGAGCTCAGTCTGAAGCAGACGGAAAAAAATGGCAAGGGGGCCAGCAAGAAGGTTACAATGCAATATGGGCTTAGGGTTCAGGGTTTAAGGCAATGAATAACCACTACCGTAAGAAAAATAAGAACCCTCAAGCAATCTCGAGCCTTCAGAGCCTTTCTGCCCACAAATCTTATACCAGAATGGTAACCTGCCCGAGCATGGGGCGTTCTCAACAACAAAAAAAGCACGACACAGCAAAGCACTTACGGTGGCTATCTCCTTCACTTTGCTCGCATTCGTCCCATACGACCGCACCAGGTGGTACACCACCGCTGAATCTAGCCGGTACGGGAGGATCCGACGGTCAGGAGCCACCCGCAGCACATCGGCGTTCTGCGCCAGCTGGGAAAAGAGGGCGGGAGTGAAGCCAGCAGCGCCTGTGAGGGGCAGATGCTCCGTGACGCTGGGGGGCAGGGCGAGGGCGTTGCTGCTGCCGCTGCTGCTGGTGCTGGTGCTGGTGGTGGCTGATGGGTTGGTTGGGCTGGTGGTGGTTGGTGCTGTGAGGTTGCCGACCCGGATGGCTGTGTTGACCGTGTCCTCTGCCATGCTGGATGAGGGAGAGGAGGGGGAGAAATTGGGAAAGTGAGGGGGAAGGGTAAAGAGAGAGGACGGAGTGGGATGAAAAGGGGGGAAAGGGGAAGCAGGGAGCGAGAGGGATAGGATGGGTGGTTGTGTCATTGGCAAAAACGGTTTCTTGAGAGGTGACAAGTGAAGAGGGTTGAAGCAAGTATTTTATAGATGTCATTGAAGTAGCAAGGCAGAATCAGTTACACTCACCTCCTGTAAGTGGTCCACTTGCCGCCTGTGACTGTAACGAGCGTGCCCCCCTCCACCATCACAGTGTGCTCTCTGACCACATTCGATGTATCTGCCTTGCTCCCTTCCGTCTGCTTCCCCTCCTCTGTCTCAACCTCTTCCGGCTTCCCTTCTCCTGCCGCGCCTCCCTCGGATTTACCCCCTTCTTGTGCGGGTGTCTTCGTTTTGAGCCCTTTCCGCAGAAGAGGGCGGAGTCCGCCCCACACAGACAAGACATCTTCCTTGCGCACCTGCGATTAGCACAATCACCAAACAAGAAAGGCAATCATATCAGCCAAAAAATGAAAAGCGGAGAAAAGGGTACAATTGGTGGTTTGACAGTTTTGGCTTGGCACGTGTCCAGACACAAAATAAACAAAACAGGGGAAAAAAAAAAAGAACAAACGCTTGCCCACACAGGTAAGACATCATTTTGTGCACCTGGAAATGGCACGACCATCAGACGAGGAAAGCACGCAATTTGATAGAAAGTGAAATAGCCATAATTCGGCACGTGTTTAGGACACGAAAGAACGTGTGAAATGTTGGAGTGATTGGTTTGTCTGACTGATACTTAATCCGAACACTTATAAAACCCACATCACATCTAAATCTGAGCAATTCCCCTCGTTATACTCACATCCACATCCAGGTAGCTGCTGAGGGTATCCACAATGAACTGAACCTCCTTCTCCGTGGGAACAGGCACATCCACCACCTCTGAAGGGCGAACCCATTGCATTAAGACAATCATATCATATCCAATCACTCACATCCACATCCAGGTAGCTGCTGAGGGTATCCACGATGAACTGAACCTCCTTCTCCGTGGGAACAGGCACATCCACCACCTCTGAAGGCGCATCTGTCGTTCCCGCCACCACCCGCCCCAGCCACCACCCTCCCCAGCCACCACCCTCCCCAGGGAATCAGTAGTTGCGGAATCACACTCATACAATATCAAATCCAACCACTTACATCCACATCCAGGTAGTTGCTGAGGGTATCCACGATGAACTGAACCTCCTTCTCCGTGGGCACAGGCACATCCACCACCTCTGAAGGCGCATCTGTCGTTCCCGCCACCACCCGCCCCAGCCACGGCAGCATGAACATCACCCTCCCGTCCGCCGTCCTCGGTATAAGCAGACCCACGTTTCCGCCGCCGCCGCCGCTGCCGCTGGCTGTGCCTGCGCCTGCGCCTGACGTGCTGCCTGAAGCGGCTCCCAGGTAGAAGTCGGGGAGAACAACGTGGGAACCGGAGGAGGCGAGGACGGCCAGGGGAGTGTTGGGGTCAGCCATACGGCGAACGCTGTTTGGGAACCAGGGAAGGAGCGAGGGGAGGAGGGGGTGGAAAGTGAGGTGTGGGTTGTTTTACATTCTGGTGCCAGAGGCTGACGTGCTGCCTGAAGCGGCTCCCAGGTAGAAGTCGGGGAGAACGACGTAGGAGCCGGAGGAAGCAAGAACTGCCAGGGGGGTGTTCGGGTCAGCCATACGACGAACGCTGCTTGGATTTCAGAGGGGAAGGGGGAAGAAAGGGAGGGGTGAAGAAAGGGAGGTGGGTAATGAAGTGTGAAGTAAGGTAAATTGCGAGCCTGGCGTGCTGCAAGAGGCGGCTCTCAGGCCATTGGCTGTGCCTGAGCCGCTGCCGCTGGCTGTGCCTGCCCCTGCGCCTGACGCGCTGCCTGTGGCGCCTCCTGAGGTAAAAGTCGGGGAGAACAACATGGGAGCCGAGGAAGCGAGGATTTGAGGTGTGGGTGGGTACTGAGGTGTGATTGTTTAACACTGTGAGCCTGATGCGCTGCCTGTGGCGCCTCCTGAGGTAGAAGTCGGGGAGAACAACGTGGGTGGGAAGCCCGAGGACGGCGAGAGGAGTGTTGTGATTGGGCAAACGGCCAATTTTGTTTCAATTTGGGGGAAGAGGAAGTGGAATTCAGCGTGGTGATAATAGATGCGTTACTACATTTGAAATCCGTAAAGAAATCCTTCATATATCTACTCAGTTGCCGTTTCCAATGCACGACTTTCCCTTGTCCCAAGCTGGCTTTTGAGTCAACTCAAAAGCCAGTTGCCGTTTCTGATGCACGGCTTTCTCTTGTCCCAAGCTGGCTTTTGAGTCGACTCAAAAGTCAGTTGCCGTTTCTGATGCACGGCTTTCTCTTGTCCCACAATCAACGTCCACCTCACTGTGTCTTTTCCTTTACCTTCACAATTCTTCCTCCCTATGTCCCTATGTTTCGAGCACTATGCCACCTTTCACCTCCTCACCTGTCATCCCTTACCTTTCAGCCCCTCGCCTGTCCCCCCTTCTCACCTATCGCAGTAAGCGCCTGTTGCGTTCACCACGATTTTCGCGCGCACATCTACCTGCTTCCCCGTCCACTGTTCATTCCCCGTCTTTCCTCCTCTCCCATTTCCCCCCTCTCCCATTTCCCCCTCTCGCATTTACCCCTCTCCCAGTTCCCCCTCTCCCATGTCCCCCTCTCCCAATTCCCCCCCCCCCTCACATATCACAGTAAGCGCCTGTAACATTCACCACCACTTTGGCGCGCACATCCACATGCTTCCCCATCCACTGCTCATTCCCCGTCTTTCCTCCTCTTCCATTTCCCCCTCTCACATTCCCCAACCTCCCCCCATCTTCTCACCTATCGCAGTAAGCGCCTGTGGCATTCACCACCACTTTCGCGCGCACGTCCACCTGCTTCCCCGTGAGCTCGTCCTTCACCACGGCGCCCTCTCCACTCTCCCATCCCCCCCTCCCATTCCCCCTTCTCCCAAATCCCCTCCCCTTTCTCACCTGTCACAGTAAGCGCCTGTGGCATTCACCACCACTTTCGCGCGCACGTCCACCTGCTTCCCCGTGAGCTCGTCCTTCACCACCGCGCCCTCCACTCTCCCAGTCGGGTCTGTCTTTAACGCGGACACACTCGCGTGGTTGAGCACGACAGCGCCTGCGCGCGCGGCAGTGGTGGCTAGGGCGAGGTTCAGCCGCGCGTCGTCCATCTGTCCATCGTAGTACAACACTCCGGCTTTCAATGTGCGACCGTCTGGGGGAAGAGAGGGAGGACGAGGGAGAGGAATGGGGGGAAAAGGAGGGGGGCTTTGCAGGTGATGCTTCAACTGCGCGTCGTCCATCTGCCCATCGTAGTACAGCACTCCCGCCTTCAGCGTGCGGGCGTCTGGGGAGGAGGGGGTGGGTGGGGAGTATGAAAGGACGTCGTTGGTGAGGGGGAAGTGCATTTTTAGGTAGGTGACTCGTTAATTAACCGTCGTCAGTCTGTTCATTGCATCACAGGTGATTTATGAGGCAGGTTTGCAACAATGACCAGTAGAGAGTATTACGCTCTAAGAAACGCACCTCGTGCCTTGTGTGCAAGCGTCGGAACCATCCCAGTAGCTTCCGCTGCCGTGACCACGCGGGACATGTAGAGAACCTTCTTCCCCGCTATCAGATCATACGCTTTAAGCCCGGCCCAGTAGTACGGCACCTCCCACCAATGGTAGCACGGCGTGAGCGTGGGTAACGGCCACACCAGGTGCGGAGCGTTGCGAATCAGGGTGCCTCGTTCCGCCAGGGCTTCGTTCACGAGGCGAAGCTGCGCGAGATCTCTGCGAAGAAAAGCCTTTTCGAGGTAACGAACGCCTGCAGCGAAGGAGAAAAGTGTGGAGGGGGGTTCAGGAGAGAAGGAGCGTGATGTGATGCCTGCTGTAAGGAATACGGAATAAGGACCGTGTGTGTGAGAGAACAGAAGCCAAAGCTCGTTGAGTGGGTTTTACGAAAGTTTTTGTTCCACAAGTTTTCGAGGGGACTGACCTCCATGAACGAGCTTGGTGCTTCTAGAGGATGTGCCACAACTGAAGTCGTCTCGCTCCACCATTGCCACGTGGAGTCCGCGTGCAGCAGCGTCCAGCGCCACGCCGGCACCAGTAGCCCCGCCGCCTATAACGAGGATGTCGAATGGCCGCGCAGAGCTACTTCCGGCGAGAGCTGACATCTGAACCTGCCTCGACGGAACCTCGTCGGCAAGCTCTGGCGGGGGAGAAGAAAGACATTGAGTTTGACATCAACCAATCGGTTCAGAGATTTACACAAGATCCGCAAAATTGCACTCAAAAGGGTGGGAACTTCGACACTGAATGTTACTAAAGGTATAGCGTGATATATGCACCGCCAATGGTGCACCTGCGAAATGGTGTGTGGGCTTCTAGTGCCATGAATGCAAAACAATGGAAGACAGAAAACACTGTCGAGCCACACCGTGGCACGTACTGGGAAGGTTCTTAGGAGGGTCGGCATGGCCGGTGGAGTGGATGTAAGCCGCGAGAGCAGCAGCTGCGCCTGCTCCTCCGAATAGAACCACCCTGGAGAACAACCGGCTAGTTGTGCGAATGCTCATTCTGAACTGCTAGCTGATCCGACAAGCTGGATTGAGTTGTTGTTCCGAAATGCGAGTATCCGACTACTTGGTGCTACGGAATGATTGACTGGCTGTCGCGACGCGATTCAAACCCTGATGAAGCACAGTATTTTCGACAAAGAAGTTACGATGCCACAGGTTTCGATGTCACATAAATGCGATTCAAAACTTGATAGGAAACGGTACTGCTACACGACTCGTACACTTCTAGGTCGGCAATAGCCTCTGGCTACGGAATAAACAACACTAATCTAGGAGGTTCATCTAGAAAGAACGCAATACCAGACGCTATACTGATTGGGAAAGGCTAGACGAGATTTGAATATCTGCAGAAGACCAGTGTGAATTCGCGAGAAATGATTCCTGGATCCTGAACAAAATGACTGACTCTTTCCTGATCAGCAACTGATAACATTGCTCGGCTTGAGAAGGAAGGGATTAGGAGGAATCAAGGACCCTGTGAATGTGAGTGACCTATGGACTAGACGAGGCTGGAACAGCATGTGAATTTCCAGGTCAAGCAAATCTCGAGGGCCTGTCCGACATGTGGACCCGCGAATCCCGATGGATTCACTTTCCCGCGCGTTGCTGGACGGAAATGGGTCATCTGTGGGCCAATGTGAGTCAGCCGTGGTCCAACAACCTAGTCGTGGACCATGGGAAGGGCACGTAAGCAGCCACGTGCGAATGGAGAAGTTGGAATCGCGGTTGGTGGGCCGAAAAGTGCTGGCAGCCCCACATATCCACGTTGGCATTGACGTGGCAGAAAAAAGAATCAGGTTTAGAATCACTCCCAGCTTACTACAAGCTGCTGTGTGTAGGCGAGCTCTCCACATTACAGACATTAGTTTTCTGCATCAATACAAAATCGTTTGTGGTGGGCCAAGAAGTCTGGCTTGCTTGGACATTTCGGCCAAATGCCAGTCCTCTATGTACCATTCTGGAGTGCTATTTGTTGCAAATACTTCTTCACACATCTTAATATCGCCTCGAAGCAAGCCCTGCGTGGCACACAATTGGTGGAAGGGTTAGAGTGTGGAAAGGGACATAGGGTGAGTCAGTACGGAAACAGAGGAAAAAAAACCCTTCAAAAAACAAAACACACGAACAAGAAGAAACAGTGTCACCAGAAATCATACCTGGAAATGGTTCAGTAAATGGCCAGACGACGCAGAGAAGTCTATTCCATTATCCACTGGCTCTATTGTACGATGCACCTGGACGGATGAATGCGAGATAGGTGGATCAATCAAACATCTAAAACGACAGGTGGAAGGGAAAGAAAAACACAAACGAAAACAATAATAGTAATAATAAAACAACGCAACTAAATGGAAAGAAACAGTGCTACTTGCCTGCATGGCCTTGACGAGTTTTGTGTTGGCGATAACTTTCCGATGCCCAAAGTAATTGATGCACTTATCCTCCACATGACCTGCATTCTTGGGCCCTATGCAGTAGATGTGTGGCCAGTGGAACGGCATTCGCTCTAGATAAAAGTGCTCCGATGGGGGCTGAGGGCTGTGTGGTGAAAAGAGAGGTGGAGGGGGGTGGGGAGGAATTTTGAGGCACCTCAGAAACAGTGGAAGGGCATGCTCTCAAGATAAAAGCGCTCCGATGGAGGCTGCAGGCTGTGGGGTGACAAGAGAGGTGGGGGTTGGGGATGGGAAAGACGGGAATGAAACTGGAAATGTTGGGGGTGCTGAGGGGGATGGGTGGTGAAGGGAGGAAAAGGGTTGGAAAATCACAGTTTGGCAACAAAAGAAAAGGGAGGAAATTCCTGGCAATGCTTTATCACCACACTGACTGACAGAAGTGGCACGTACCGGCAGTGCTCGATGGACCACCAGAGGCTGGCAAAGGTGATGTAGGGCGCGTGAGAGTGCTCCTGTAGCAACCATTCAACTGTAACATGTAACTCAGTTCGTGCACACTTATCACACATCCTTACCGCACAGCAAACACACGTACCGGCAGCGCTCGATGGACCACCAGAGGCTGGCAAAGGTGATGTAGGGCGCGTGAGAGTGCTCCTGTAGCAACCAATCGATCATAGCATGCTACTCAGGTCACGCACACTTGCCGCAGTCGCACACAACCAATCAATCATAGCATATTACTCAGGTTGCGCACACTTATCACATATTTCAATCGCACACACGTACCGGCAGCGTTCGATGGACCACCAGAGGCTGGCAAAGGTGATGTAGGGCGTGTTAGAGTGTTCCTGTAGCAACCATTCACCTGTAGTATATGACTAACTTCAAGCACACTTACCACCACACACACATATTACATAATTGTCTCACACACACGTACCGGCAGCGTTCGATGGACCACCAGAGGCTGGCAAAGGTGATGTAGGGCGTGTTAGAGTGTTCCTGTAGCAACCCCTTAAGGGTCTGGGGCGGCTGGATGTGGAGAAACTCGTCAAAGTCGGCAAAAAACACCCACCTGGAGGATAAGAGGGGGAGAGAGGGCGAGGGTGACGGAGAGAGTGTGTAAGCGGGAGTGAGAGGGGGTGAGAAGTTGAAATTGGGTCTGAGGCGGCTGGATGTGGAGAAACTCGTCAAAGTCGGCAAAAAACACCCATCTGGAGTAATGAGTGAGAGTGATTGAATTTGAGGTAGAGTGAGTGAGTGAGGGAGAGTGAGAAACAGAGAGAGAGAGGATGAGAGTGTGTGTGTAACACGGAGCAAGAGAAGGTACAGAAATTCATCAGACGTCAGCAAAGAACACCCGCCAGGAGTAGTGGAAGAGAGTGAATGAGGATGGGCGAGAGTGAGTGAGGGACAGAGAGACAGGGTGAGGGAGAGAATGTGCAAAGGTCAGAGAGTGGGGTTGCAGAGGTGGTGGAAAAGTTCACGATCAGTTACAGGAATCTGTTTCAACCAGCAGGGTAGAGGGTGGGTAAGAAGAAACTCACTTGGACACATATTTCATCCGGTAGAGGCAGTTATTCAATACAAGCACGTTCTGCTTGGACTCATATCTGGGAACACAGGGGAATGGGAAGCACAGGGGAATGGGAAGAACAGGCCGGGGAAGCACAGCAGATGTTGGGACCTCGTGTCATATAATGAAGAACTTCTACTGCCACTCACTCGTACCCTCTGTCTCCACACTCACTTGTCCCTTCACCACTCACTCCCTCCCCATTCATTCGTGCCCCTCCACACTCACTCCCCACTCACTCGTTGTACCCTCCACACTCACTCCCCCACTCACTCGTACCCTCCCACACTCACTCGTACCCTCCCACACTCACTCGTACCCTCCCACACTCACTCGTACCCTCCCCCACTCACTTGTGACATCCCCCACTCACTTGTACCCCCCTACACACTCACTCCCCACTCACTTGTGCCTTCCCACACACACTCCCCACTCACTTGTGCCTTCCCACACTCACTCCCCCACTCACTTGTACCCTCCGCGCATGTCCAATATCTCCATCATCCCCGCTGCCATGTAAGGCTCAAGGACCTGTTAGTGAGTGTGTGAGTGAGGGAGGGTACGAGTGAGTGAGGGAGGGTACGAGTGAGTGAGGGAGGGTACGAGTGAGTGCATGAGGGAGGGTACGAGCGAGTGAGTGAGGGAGGGTACGAGTGAGTGGGCTGCTAGTTGCGTGGGAGGCAATGCTTTCACTCACTTCTCGCTTCATCCCTTCCTTGCTTCGCCAACATGGGACACGTTCAATACAAGGCAAGGCTGTCTGCCACTCTCCAAATAGGAACGTGCTGGAATAAACACTTGTATCTAAAGTTTGAGGTGCATACATTTCAAAAAAAAAAAAAAAAAAAGTGTACGTTTCCATATGTGCACTGTGCAGGGCATAAGAAAGAGCAGTGAATCACCTCGTAAACGTCTTCCACGACAGAAGCACCGTCGTTGAAAACAAAGTACTCCACGCCTAGGTAGTGCAGGGCTATCTGGGGCAGGGAAATGGGTGGGGACACACAGGGGGTTGCGGGGGGGACATGGTGTGGGGAAGAAGGCGGGAGTGGGACAGAAGCACCGTTGTTGAAAACAAAGCACTCCACGCCTAGGTAGTGCAGGGCTATCTGGTGGGGAGAGGGAGATAGAGGGAGGAAGGGATGTGGGCAGCGGACGAGGTGTGGTGTGGGGCCCATGCTGTGAGGCAAGTAATGTTGGGAAGAATGGGGGCCTGCGACAGAAGCACCGACGTTGAAAACTAAGTACTCCACGCCTAGATAGTGCAGGGCTATCTGGGGAAGGGAAGGGGGGGTTGGTTGGAAGGGAGGAAGGGATGCAGAGATGGGTGTCGGGAACACATGGTGTGGGGAAGCAGGGGGGTCTGGGACAAAAGCACCATCGTTGAAAACTAAGCACTCCACGCTTAGGTAGTGCAGGGCTATCTGGGGAAAGGGAGAATGGGCACGGGAGGAACGAATGTGGAGCGGGATGTGGGACACACATGGCATGGGGCACACACAGTCGTACCTGCAACCACACCTGGATGGTCTTTGGGTTGAGGTGCCGATACATGGAGGTAGGAGCAGAAGGCAGATTATTGTACTGTCCACAAAAAAAAAAAAAAAAAAAAAAAAAAAAAAAAAAAAAAAAAAAAAAAAAAAAAAAAAAAGTGGTAACCAGCACAGTCTTACCTGGAAGTTGCAACCAGAAAGACTGTTCATACCTGTAACCATTCTTGAATGGTCTTGGGGTTGAGGTTTCGGTACATGGGGTAGGAGCAGAAGGCCAGGTGGTAGGGGGGAGGGGCATCGATGGGAAACTCGTCCTGCCCCTCCTCGTGCATCACCTCTGCCTGCTCGTCTGTGTGTGTGGGGGGTGAGGAGGAGGGAGGAGAATAGACCCATCTGCACCCATTTGAACCCATCTCGCCTCCCAAAGGGAGAGGCATCGATGGAAAATTCGTCCTGCCCATCCTCGTGCATCACCACTGCCTGCTCGTCTGTGGGACGGGGAAAGTGGAGAGGGAGGGAAGGAGGAAGGGAGGGAGGAATGGAGGGAGGGTTGGAAGGAGGGAGGGAGGGAGGGAGAGAGGGAGGGGGAGGGAGGGAGGGAGGGAGGGAGGGAAGGATGGAGGGAGGGAGGGAGGGAGGGAGGGAGGGAGGGAGGGAGGGAGGGAGGGAGTGAGGGAGGGAGGGAGGGAGGGAGGGAGGGAGGGAGGGAGGGAGGGAGGGAGGGAGGGAGGGAGGGAGGGAGGAACGGGCGGACGGAGGATCATAAAAAGGTGAACCCAAACTGGATGGAACCACAGCGATGAAGACAATGCAGGCAAATCGGAGAGCTCTCTCACTCACCCCCACCACACTCACTCCCCCACTCACTCCCTCACTCAGCCCCTACCCCTATCCATTCATCCCCTCACACACAGATAGACCGACCTAGCATGAGAATGGCAGTGCCTCCAGTGGTGCCCGTGGTGTGGACGAGCAGAGTACACTCGTAAATGGCAGTCTCATACAGCAATTGCTGCAGTGCCTGGCACTGACCTAGCACGAGAATTGCAGATCCTCCAGTGGTGCCCGTACTGTTGACCAGCAGAGTACACTCGTAAATGGCAGTCTCGTATACCAGCCAGTGGTGCTCCGCAGGGTAAATTACCCTCACTTTGCCCTCTGCGTACCCCCCATCCAGTGCTATCCAGTAGCATTTGCTCGCCTGGCAAAAGGGACAAAACGAGGGGGAAAAGGCTTCAGACATCTAGTAGCAAAAGGGAAAAAAGGGTGTAAAAGTGGTCCCAAATACAAACAGGAAAAAAGGCACAAAAGTGATCAACCCCATTGCTTGTCAACTCACCACTACATGCCAACTCAGCCGACTGTCTGACACCTCACCCCACTGCGTGTCAACTCACTTGCATGTCAAATCACCCCTCTGCGTGTCAACTCACCCCGCTTCCTCCCTCTTCCTTCAGCTCACGCAGCGAGTGACCCACAGCCGCAAACTGGTTAGCACCGATGCGGTAACCACCCGCCATGACAAACCGGTGCTGGCCAATGGGAGTGCCCGAGACAGGTGGCGGCTCCTGATAGGCCCGCTGCAGAAATGGCCGTTTTGTGAGGCAGGGATTGGATATTGATCCGATGTGGCGCATGTTACCCCCATCCAGGTCAGCATCTGGCCGGGCAGGGGGAGGGGGAAGGGGAGGGGGAGAGCGAGGGGGAAGGGGGGGGTGAGCAGGAGAGGTGAAGTTGGCGTTGGCAAACGGGAGGGAAGAGAGACGGAAGGAGAGAAGGGAAGGGAACAGAGATAACGGGCAGGGCGCTGAAGCACAATGGGCTTTTTCTCAGGGCGCTGGATTTGTTACGCGACTTCTCAACAGTTTTGAGACAATCTGAGCCTGAGCCCCACAGACGTCTCAAAACCAGAGGTTGTCAAAAATCAATTATTTGGCCTGGGTCGAAATATGATCTTGAGGAACGGATGGCACTACTGGACGGATCAGTTTCTGGGAAAAAAAAGAAAAAAGAAAAAAAAAAACTGTTACCATTATCCCCTCACCTGTCCTGTATTCGAGTTTCCTTGTATTAAGCTCCTCAGGTTGACCCGGTAAAAACACCCCTTGCTTTTGCGCTTGCTGCCATAGCCTCTCATTCAGCTTTCCCTGAGGCGGGGGGGAAAGAAAGGGTTTCCGCCGAACAGCTCCTCCCCCGCGTCCTCCCCCGATCCCCCTTCCCCCCGCTCCCCCTCCCGCCCATACCCCCCTTTTCTCCTGGTCCGAGCGCCTGGAATTCTCGCCGATCCCGCCGTGTTTCGCGCCGCTAGTCCCGGAATGTCCCCGTTGCTGGCGCATCAGCTGTTTCCGCGCAAGCTCCGCGCTAGACTGGCGGAGAAGCTTCTCGCGGTCGTAGCTGGCGGAGATGTTGAGAATGGCCAGGAGGATCAGCGACGGCCCGAACAGAACAATACCCGTAGTTAATAGCGAGACGCGAGGACGACCCGATGCTTCTCTAGGTGATGCTGCTCCTTCCGGATCAAAATTTCCTGCTGCTGACAGTAATGCGGAGGAGGAGGCGTGTTGGTCTGGTTTATTAAGTATCAGCTTAGCAACTTCTGTTTTACTGGGGACTTTTTGAAACGAAGCGACATTTCGACGGTGTGTCGTTGACGAAGGGACGCTGTCTTCGCCAGGGTAACCCTCCGACACCATTGTCGCTCAGAAGAGAATAACAACCGCCGAAAACTCTGTGAGTTACGAATTTTAGCAGCAATGATGACCGAAGAGCCGTCGCAGTATGTCAAACGCGGACATTAAAGTCTGCCAGCGTCTCCGTCGACATTTTCCTGCATATACCTCAATGCAGCTAACTGATAATCATTCCAGTCGAATGAATAATTACCTCCTTCATCTGCCTCAACTCCAGCAAACTTTGTCCTCTGTCAACGTGAGCTCGAACGTCTCTTTCTGGTTCCACGAAAAACTCTTCATGACGCCATGTGAATTACGTTACACGTGAAAACCATGGTAACACCAGACAAGTTGGCGATTACAGAGGATTCTCACGAACTAAGGTACCTGGTAGGTAGTACGCCAAAAAAAGCCACTGTTAGTCAGGTCGATCATGCCAGAAATGATGTTCGTGATGGTCTGCTAGTCCTGATTCCTGAAGAAAAACGCTCAAACAGTACCTTCAAATATTCTCCAGATAGTCCTACTATGAGGTCACCAGAAACATGTGCTCAGTCAAAGCGGTTGAGTACGATAATCTGTACTCTGAAGCGGTGTTGAATCTTCACCACCCTGTACCGCTACATACCAGCCTGGAAACATTGATACATGAACTGTTTGTGAAGTGAGGTGCATGATGGAGGATTCGAGAAGAAAGGTTTGAACCTCTCTAACGAATGTACGGTATGGTACGTTCAAGGTGGTAGTAGCGCGGTGCAGCTAGGTCTTAGGGAGTTCGAAAGGCACCACCAGATCTGACATGTGAATACGGTAGAAACTTCCTCAGCTAAACCTTGTGCACTTTTTTGGAGTCATCAGATTCAGGGCAAAAGTGATTAGATTCTCCAATCAAATGTATTGCAGGTTCCCTTTGCCACAATCGGGACCGCAACTTGCACAGCGGGACCGTCGATCTTACCGAATCCAATGTTGGCCCTCATTCCATCTACAAGCCCTCAATTTGCTGTTGGTAAATGTCAGATGCTGACCCTGTATAGTTTAAAGCCCAAGACCCGGATTACAAAAAACGAAGGCGAACTGTGCACAGTTTGCCTCCCGCAGCCCACAGTTTTGCCCCGCGCTGACTTGCGTTGAGCAATTCAGGTCTTGGGTTTTAATATGCACAAGGCTGAAGTTAAATCATATAATTGCATTATGTATGTAAATCACAACACAACCATTTCGAAATAGACTTGCATTGCATCATAAAATGTGAAACTTGCATCATGGATAGCCCAACCACCTTATGGGGGGGAAATGTGGCTGATGCCTGAACTATAGTGTGATCCCACCGGCTGAAAACTCTGGCACCTACACACACAACCGAACAGAAGGTCAGCACAAGATACCATCACCCTAAACCCTAAACCCTAGACCTGCAACTTCTTAAACACAGCACCCACTTACTATTCTGGGAGGGAGCGACGAAATCCAGTCAGCAGGACGCGTCGGAAGCAAACCCAAGCCATTCAACTGCAAGGAAGGAAAACTCAACCAGGAAGGGATGATCAGAGGTGATTTGGAAGAAGCAATGTTGCATAAGGTACGGAGTGACGAGGGGTAGCGAGGAGTAACAAGAAGAGAACCATGTCGCAAGTGGTAACATGAGGTAGCAAGGGGTAGCAAGGAGTAGCAAGGAGTGGCAAGCGGTAATGCACGGTAGCACGGCAGGAGCACCTTCCAGAGGCCGATGGAGAGGAGAAAGAGGTTGACTGCAGCATACATCATCTTTGGCAGCACCACGTCCACCTTGGGGTCCTTGAACGGCTCAAACGCTGCAGGGGGGGGGGGGGGGGGGGGGACAGGACATAACAGTCAAGAGCATGGATAGCAGGATGAAGGAGTGAAAGGCAGTTAACTGCGGCATACATCATCTTTGGCAGCACCACATCCACCTTGGGGTCCTTGAACGGCTCAAACGCTGCAGAGGGGGTGAGGAATAGCACATGCAACAGCACATGCAACAGCACATGGAACACAAGCACACGGATAGCAGGCGGATGGAGAGGAGGAAGAGGTTGAGTGCAGTGTGCATCGGCCTGGGCAGCATCACATCCACCTTGGGGTCCTTGAACGGCTCAAACGCTGCAGAGGGGAGAGGGGGGAGGGGGGGGGATGGGGGGGGAGGAAAGTGTGGGTGGGGGGGGGGGGGGTTGCGTGGGGGTGGAGGGGGAAGAGAACGAGATGCTTTCTGAATTGACTCAAAAGTCACCTTGGGGTCCTTGAATGGCTCAAACGCTGAAAGGGGGGTGGGGGGGGGGGGGCGGACAGCACATACAACACAAGTCACCTAAGGGGTCCGTGAACAGCACAAAGGGTGCAAGAGGGGGGGGCGGAAAAACACAGACGGCATTTACAATAAATCAAGAATCACTGTGGTGGTATAGAATGGCTCGAGGACTGCAGGAGGGCGGGAGAAGAAACAGATGGGCATCCTGCAGGACTGCAGCCTCCAAATACCAGCCCGGCCAGGCCGGGAGTACCAGCCGAAGTGTTTCTTCTTCAACTAAAGTGATGGGATGCGTTCTTTCCTTGCATGATATGAGACTCCCAGAAACGCATCCATCACTTCCGAGACAACCCATCAATGCTGGTACGTTTTTATCCTTTCTGAGACTCCCAGAAACGTACCAGCATTAATGGTCCTTAGCGCGGACATGGGCTGCCAGAGGATGGAAACGGTGATTCCGATGCTGAAGATATGCACAGAGATACGAGAAATCTGAGACACCCAGAATGTGCAGGCATCATTTGAAACACACCCGGAGACACCTGGATTCGTACCAGCATTGATGGTCCTTAACGCTGCAATCGGTTGCCAGAGAATGGAGAAAGTGATTCCGATGCTGAAAAGGTGCACAGTGCTACCAGCCATCCAGAGCATGAATCCCATCATTAGAAGATTCTTGGTGGGAGACTGGGCTAGAGCCCATGCACGCTGAAAAGGGGGGGTGGCGTCACAAGGAAGAGATGGGGTGCACGCAGAGGAATTGGGATGCTGAAAAGGTGCACAGTACTACCAGTCATCCAGAGCATGAATCCCATCATGAGTAGGTTCTTGGTGGGAGACTGGGCTAGGGCCCATGCTCGCTGAAAGGGGGACAAATGGGGTCACGAGGAAGCGAACAGGGAACAACAGGGAACCAAAGGGAGAGGGGCGGGAGAAAGGTGGGGGGGGAGGGAGGAGGGAAGTTGGAAAGTGGGATGCTGAAGGAGTGCATTGTGCTGCCGGCCATCCAGAGCATGAATCCCATCATGAGTAGGTTCTTGATCGGAGACTGCACTAGGGCCCATGCACGCTGAAAGGGGGAGAATTTTGGTGAAAAGGGAAGGGGAAACAATGTATAGAATATTCACTTCCATGTACACGTTTACATCAAGATTGAAACGAGCACGGGTCATTCAGAACATGAATCCCATCATGACCAGATTCTTTCTTTTCGACTGGGCTACAGCCAGGGAAATCTGAAAGGGGGAGAGGAATTGAATGGCGTACGCACCGGGGAAAGAAGTTGAAACGACACACCAAGCCTCCCACAGCAAGCCACACTCACACCACATGAATCCTCCCGCCCAACCCCTCACAGCCCTTTCAGTTTGCTGTAGGATAATCAACCCCTCCTCACCTCCTGCTTCTTTGCCGGGTCAAGGACCTTATCTTTTTGTGCCAGAGCCTTAGATCCGTTGCTGCTGGACACCTGATACAAGAAACCGCGATACAAGCACACGCAATTCAAGCACTCGCGACATCATCACAGGATAGGAGCATACGCACCACCAACAAAAACAGAAAGATAGTAGCACCTACAAGAGACGCAAGCACGTAACGGAGCGGATCAGTCTACAGAAAAGCATCCGATACAAAGTGAGTCGAGAGCCCCTCACAGCTTCACCCAAGAACGGTTTCACTCATCTGGTAACCCTAAACACTACAAGCAGCTACGCGCTCACCAGCTCTGCCGCGTTTCGGTTGAACCCAGGCGGATCGGGAACGTCCTTCGAGATCCCTGAAGACGCGTCTGCCAGGTCGACGGCCCATCGGTGCGCTTCCTTCCTCCCGCTCGTAGACATGCCTCGCGACTGTCGCGCGAAAACGACGATTGCAGGCTCTGCGACAAAGGGTTGAGAGGTCCTAACGACAATCCGAGCGACAAGCGACAATACGCGACGATAAGCGAGTCGCTAAAGCGATGGTAGCTTAGTTGAACGGAAGTGATATTCGACTGGGATATGCTGGAGAATAAAAACTACACCATACTACGCTCCGTTATGCCTTGAGAGTGTCGGCATTGTAAATTTCGATCTGACAGATTCACCGTACTGTCTTTCCCCATACCGCGAAAAAAATGCACGTCGGAGCACTGCACCACGCGTTCAAGCGGAATTCGACGACAGCGGTTTCGCTACACTTGGAAGCTTCACAACGCATTTACATACTTCTGCGTTATTTTAGACTGCTCGTGAGATACACGGTTAAATAACCTAGACAAGCATGTCAGACAAGCATGGGAAATCCCCACATTGACCACGACTGGCAACTGTGTCTACAGTGTACAATGCAAGAAAGGTACCGTACCAATGCCCCAACTTTCTCTAAACGAATTCAAACCATGGACACTCATCCTCTCCACGTCAGCAAAACGCTGACAGGCAGCTAGCTCGATTAGCGTAGTTACGGCGTAAATACGGCGCAACGGACTCCACACGCCGTGTACTGTACACCAGGAAGCAGCTTCCGCAGCTGAGCTTACACCAGCTTCACGCCGGCAGCTTGAACAAGCTCCCTGCAACACAAACTATGGTCCTCGTCACATTCAAAGGCCTGCTGCTGGGCTGCAGAAAAACTTTTTAAGTGTCTCTCGATTCAACACCACACCACACCACACCGTACCGCACACTGCAGTCGTCAGTGACTAGTACAGCGGAAACGAGTGAGGTTTCAGGAGCGGAAATGGTTAGGCGTGACTGCTGATTCATAACCCCAGCCATACTTCCACCCGGCTCTTGATACAATACAGAAGTCAGCCTTAAAGGGGATGGCCACAGGGCTGGCTGTTGTGCAGTAAGAGAATGGCAGTTGGTCAAGCAGGAGAGGAAATTGAGGTACTGTCGTTGTTTCCACTGCCGTTTCCACGGCTAGCGTCACTGTTACCACTACTGCTGCTTCTGGCAGTGCTACCATCGCTGCTGCTGCCACTGCCGCTGCTGCTTTCAGTGTTGCTGCTGCTGCTGTTACCAGCATCAGCGCTGCTCCCGCTGCTGTTAGGAGCAGCGGCGGGTGGGGCAGTGATGTCGAATTTGCAGAGGGGGCAGGTGGGGCGGGTGCGCAACCACTTGTCAACACAGGCGGAGTGGAAGTGGTGCGAGCAGGGCAGCTCCCTCAGCAGCACCGCGTCCTCGTATGGCCCCAGGCAGATGCAGCACTCCTGGGAGGATGAGAAGGGGCGGAGACAGAGAGCGTGGGAAGAGGATGAGGAAGAGACGGAAATGAGTTCCATAAGCAATACCGCATGCTCCCAGGCAGATGCAGCACTCCTGGGAGGGAGGAAGGAGGGAGAGGATGAGGAAAATATGAGGGGATGGGTAATAGGTCTGAGCAGCAGCAGCAGCAGCATAGCGACCTCGTATGCTCCCAGGCAGATGCAGCACTCCTGGGAAGATGAGAAGGGAGAGAATAACGAGGACATGAGGGTACGGTACCGGGCCGGGGAAACAGCATTAATACGTCCTCGTATGCTCCCAGGCAGATGCAGCACTCCTGCCGCATTCACAAACTACTGCATCCCCAGCCTGCCACATCCCCAACCCACCGCATCCCCATCCCACCGCATCCCCATCCCACCGCATCCCATCCCACCGCATCCCCACCGACCGCATCCCCATCCCACCGCATCCCCAACCTACCACATCCCCAACCCACCGCATCCCTAGATAAATACAGCAAGAGGTTTCCCTGAAGAAGAGTATCAACGTACCGCATCATCGTCTGCAACTTCTCTCTCCCGCGGCGGCTGGCTCGACCCTCCCACTTGCGTCATGACCCCCCCTGCCGGCTCATCTATTGTCACCCGAACCTCCTCCTTCGACTCGGCACCCGCACTAACCGTTTCCTTCCCACTGGTTTCCCCCGTACCACCGCTGCTGTTTCCATCATCACAGCTGCTACCCTTCGGCACACTGCTACTATTGAGCCCACTACTGCTGCTGCTGCTGCTGGTTGCAACGCCTAGCGCCTCGGTGATCGCGGAGAGGGCGGAGGCCGCGGAGAGCGGGCGGCTGCTGCTTGGGGGAGAGCCGCGTCGGCGGAACTTGAACTGCGGGAGGGACTGGATCTGCTCGTTTGTGGCACCTTCCTGTTCGCCCATTGCGTAGAGCACGGCGATGATGCAGGGCAGGCAGCAGCACACGGCGATGCCCACCAGACACGCGAGGGCGATGCAGAAGATGACGAAGAACACGTCGAACGCCAGAAACGACATGCACACCCTGCGGATTGGGTAGCGGGGAAAATCGGTGAGAATGGAAAACCCAGAAATGACATGCTCACCGCGAATTCAACGACGTGCAAACCTGACTGGTAATGAATCACCAGCACAACGACGTCGAGAAGGGAAAACCCAGAAACGACATGCTCACCGCGAATGGGAGCGGTTAAGAAATAACAACAGGTAAGAACCCGCACGTACAAGAAAGATTTGAGCGTATAAGAATATTCACCAGGAGAGAATGGGCGCGTCTTCGAAGGTGTCGTCGAAGGTGGAGATGATCCACGCGAACCCCACGGACCACCAGAGGAACGAGAAGACGGTGTTCGCCGACTCGATTTGCTTCGCGATGCTGCGAGCACACGCGCAGAGCCAAGAATGAACGTAACGATAACGTTAAAGAAACGTGGAGATTTCAGAACTGAGTTCCTGAGGAGGAACTGGTGCCGGCGGACTCGACTTGATACACATCGAGCAAATATAATATCGCCGTCACTTCAAAAATCGCCTTTAAAAAGTCACATCTGCGTAGCGAGTAGTACCTGTCAATCCGATCATCTTCCATCAGCTGCTCCCCCGTACTCCCCTCCGCTTCCTCCTCCTCGTCATCGCTCCCTCTTTGCAACAACCCCTCTCGAATATCCGAACTCCCACTCCCCACTGCACCTCCTGCTCCTCCTCCCCTTCCTCCCCTTCCTCCTCCTCCTCCGCTCGCGCTCCGCAACCCGCGCAGCCCTCGTCTGCTGCTCCTGCTCGCTCCGCCGCTCCTCCTCACCCGACTCCGGTCGCTCCTGCGCTCGTCTGGGCTTTGCTGCCGGCGGTCGAACTCCACGAGCACGCAGACAATATGAATGATGCACTGCGCCGAGTACCCCATGAGCCACACGCCGAGCGGAGCGGCCGGCTCCTCCTTGTGGTTGCGGCTCACGGAGAGCGTTGCGATGGCGACGAGCACGAAGATGAGGTTCCAGAGCGTGTCGAGGAGGACGATGGGACGGGAATAGGCCCAGTTGCTCTGACGCTCTTCCAGCTGTAGCAGGCGGAGCAAACAGACAAACCAGAAATAGACAGACGACGAGCAAGAAGGCAGGTTGAACAGAGTTCTTAAACGGCTACAAACTACAGGAAACGAAGATACGAAACCAGGAAAGGTGTGGAAAGGAAACGTCACGAAACGGACCAGATAAGCGCGTGCTGCTAAAGCACACCTGAACATGTCAAGAAACAGTTAAGCAACTGCGTACCTCTTCCGACGCCGTATCGCGAACCCGTATGGACTGCTGCCGCATCAACCGCTGGCTGCTCGCCTGACGAATCAGCCTCGCCGCTCCTAACGCGACCGCACCTCCCGTTCTAGGCACCGAACCCGTAGAGACTGCTCTTGTCTCGCTTCCTGGTGATAATGTCAAATCCTCGGATGAATTTCCGCTCCCTATGCTTATCAGCCGAAAACTACCGCTATCGCCGGCGCTGGCTCCCCTGAGGCTCCGACTCCGACCGCTTCTGCCTCGACTGCTTCTGCTCGCGTTAGTCACGTCGCTGTTAGTATCAATGACGGTATCCATGGAAGAAACTGGCTCCATGATCTGCGCTCTATCTGTGACGCTCTCACGGATGTCACGGACGCTATCTGCAGAGGTATTCCTACTGGTGGAGTCGGACAGGCCTATTGGCTCGAGACTAGAGCTTGGAGCGGTCGCGTCACCATCGTTTCTTCTCTGTTGTGACATCACGTTAACGAGGTCCCTAACAGGCGTTGCATGAAACTTAAGAGAAACCTGAGATGGAGATTCTAATCCTAGCACTCCTATTCTCCGACCTGCATGAAACTACAGGATTCGCAAGGCGAGATAGATTTAGGATCTGTACACAGAAGCACTACAAATGAACGTGCACCGGGAACGGAAACTTACACGACGATAAAGCTCCCTTGAATTCTTAAGATCACAGCTAGCTAATGAGAAGAGAACACAAAAGCAACAAAGTAAGCCACAAACCCAGTTAGGACCTGGCTCGTTTGTTCAAGCAAGCATGTGTCTCTTGTCTAAAAATCAAGCTCAGCAAAACTCCATGAAAGGAGAAAGAAGCGGAACGGAGAGGGAAGCTACTGTGCTGGGATTTGTGGCCAGGAACAGTGGCAGGGGGGTGCTGGTGGTGCTGAGTGCCCCTTTAAGAACGTAATGAACCGTATTGAACCATTTAGAAGGTCTTTGCATCCTTTCGTTTCAAAGTTGACAGAGTGCTCTGCTTTGTCAAGATGCAGCTCTTTCCAGCTTTCCGAAGGAATCGAGGCTTGTGTACAGTTCGTAGCTGCTCGCCAAAGCTCCCCCTCATCTCGTTTTGCCCTGGGAGTTCCGCGAACACCCTTGAATTTGCAAAGTGGGCGGAGGATGAGGTCGGGGAGCGGGGTTTCAGGTTTCGGATTGGAGGGAGATGCGGAGATTGGTTCACGGGCGCGGATTTGGGGGGATTGTGTGCGGAACTGGATTTCGTAGGCGGTGGCTTGGAGGGAAACCAGCATGGAAGGGGGGGCGCATGGGCAGCATGTGGGGCATTGAGGCAAGTGGACGAGGCGACACTCGAGAGTCGTCGTCAATGAGGGAAAAAATGAGGATACGGGCAGCAAGTGGAGGAAACCGCGATTGATTAGCCCAGGCATTCCTTGCAAAGGCGTTCCGACTTCTCTGACGACGTCTCAATTATTGGTCTTAGAACCATGCTTAACTACGTAAAATACTTCTCCATATGTTTGTACCAGAGAAAGTACTGATGGAACCGTACTGAGTGAACCATTCTGACATGCCTGACGAGGTCAGGCATGGCAGAAGCGAGGGCTACAGTATTGCCGACTTTGCCTGGAAGCAAGAGACGCTCCGCTTGGTGCGCAAAAGTGTGGTTGGTGTGGTGGGTCTGTGCTGTGGTCGTCTGGAAAACGCCAGGAAAGGGAACGCGTTTCGTTGAATCGGAGGGCGCAGCGCTGCGCAGCAGGACTCAGGTCAGGAGGGAACCCAGCCCTGGCTAGTCAACACCTGCAGTGGACGGTACGGTGTTTGTGTACGACTGGCTTGTGTCGTATCGCACGCTGCTGCGACAGTCGAACCTCCCAAGGAGCGACAGCGATTCGACAGCAGAACCTTCTCCAACGGAGGCTCGGGAGATTGGGCTGTGTGTGAAAGCTGTTCGTTACTGGCGGGCAGCGGGACAAATGAATTTCGCAACCGCAGATGTAGGACCAAGCGGCAAAAATCAACAGCAAAACCAAACGAGCCACCTCGGAACCAAAACATCGAACCTGTCGCTGAATGGAATCCCTGGCTCCAGTGCGTCGCACGGGAGAGGCGATGAGCGGTATATTCAAGCCAACCGCAGTGTGCTACAAACGACGAGTGTGACAATAGCGCAGCTTTAGCTTTCAGTGAACTTCTATATGGATGTTAAAACTTGCTGATGCAAGTTGTAGAGAACAGGCCAGCCTATGGCGAGTACAGATGACGCTTCTTGCCAAAGCAACCCTATAAACTGATCATAGCTGGTTTCTTTCGGGTATCCCTGCTTTGCCCTAAACCATAATAGAAAAGCAGTGCGACTTGCGGAACCACCGCCTCGAACACACCAAGTTAACATTTCGCGAATTCGCCAGCGACACCTGTGTTTGAGGTGCTGTAAGCGCACCGTTACAGCACTGCAAGTACCTTTGCCTCCTTGTCGTAGACTTGTACTAGCTCCAGATTCGCCGGAGGAAATGTCAAAGTCTTGCAAGGGCCTCGCGTACGAGCTCGTCAAGTGCGTCGCGGAAAGCCCGTGCGTGAAGGTGAGAGGCCTTGCGAGATTGAGAGCTTTTGCGAAAGTAACCATCGCCTGTTCTTTTGTCAACGAAAATCACCATCTTTCGTTGGTAGTCCGCACGTGCTCTCTTCGTTGCACTCACCGCTATTTCCGTACAACCTCGATTCACGGTACATCCCATCACAACCCTCTTCATCCTGACCGTCCGGCTTATCGTGCTTCAGGAGCAGGGTCGGCCGGTGCAGGAGTGCGCAGGAAAGCAGCCGCCTGAGATCCCCTCCAAGTGTGTGGGGCTGAGGGAAACATACGCCAAGTGCAAGAGAGGGCAGGTGAGATGCGAGAACGAAATTTGAGGGCAGGTGAGGGCCAGTGAGGGCAGGTGAGGGCCGGTGAGGGCCGGTGAGGGTCGGTGAGGTCAGGTGAGGGCGGGTGAGGGCGGGTGAGGGCGGGTGAGGGGAGTTGAGGTTAGTTGAGGGCAGGAAGGTGGAGAGTGGAGCAGGGGTGAGTTTCGAACCGGCGTCCAGTTGATTTGAGATGAGGAAAAAAACCGTGCCGGAAGTGGATCTGAGATGAGGAATCTGTGCTCTAGGTGCATGCGAGAGTCGGCAGGCAGGTGAGGTGCGGGTTTGGTGGTAGAAGGGGACCCACTGGGATGTGCTTTTGGAATCTCCGGCCAGTATATTTGGGTTAAGGGTTTTGTATGTGAGGTGCAAGATAGGAGCGTGTGTGGCTGAAGGGGGCCGGTGAGGTGTTCTTTTGGAATCTCTGGCCAGGTATTTGGGATAGGGGATCCGTATTTGAGGTGCAAGAGAGGGGAATGTGCAGAGCATTTTATTTCTGTTTTGGCCATGCATCAAGTTTGCATGAGTAATGGAAACTCCACTTTGTGCATGTGTGAACCTTGCACAGGTGGACATGCGAACACGGATTCGAGGCAACAAAGGGTACTAGATGTATCACAGTGTATAAGTGGGAACTAAGTCAGCCTGGAAGCTAAGTCAAAAAAGTTGTTGCCAGGATGGAGTTTGAGAAATTTGAAAATGCCTTGCCAATACCCATACGGTAAGTCATTGCAATTGCAAGCATTACATGAGCGCTTGTGCAGTTTTTCAGTATGCTGATTGCAGTACTTATTGCTGGTCTCTTTATTTCTCTTGCAGGGTTCCAGCTGACACCAATGTTTTGCTGCTTAGAGCTTTGTCATGTCATGTAGTATAACAGGAGGAGGTGTTGGGAAGTGTAATGCTGCATTGTATTGTACTAGTGTATTGTGAACGATTTGTTGGTGAACAGAAAAGCGGGAGTTTTCTTGGAGAGGGAAATTGGTGTGCATCGCAAATGTCGCTTCTGAACATTTCTAGGTTCCAGTTGACGTGGCGCGATTTCAACGGCTTCTGACACAACGTGATCTTCTATCAGTGCATGTCTCTGTTGCGATGAGAATTCTCTTCATCGACTTTCTTCGAATCCCACTCAATCGCCAGCTTTCGCATGCACGTACGAAATTTCGTCAAATTTTCGCCGTCCAGTTGTTCGCTGTTCCAGTTGTCCAGTCTGTGAGGTCGCAATCATGGAAAGCTGCTGCTGCTCGTCGAATCTTAGAAGCTCACTATTTCAAGTGGTTGAAGCGATTGCTTTAGAGGAGGACGAGGAGGAAGAAGGTTCGTTTTATGACCAGCTAGCTCGCTCGCGAGCACGGTTAGTAATGATTTATGCTGCGTTGATTACGGGCTGCTCCAGATTCTAGGTGGTACTATATTCCAAGTGTCAAGGTGGCCTTTAATCCACGTCAGTGTGGATATCGGTTCCTGGTGCTACAGCATGGAGCACATGGTAACGAAATTCAGACTCGATACATCGCGAAAAAATTCCAAACAACAAAATGTACACAGTAGCTTTCCTTGCGGGAAACTTGCGGAAAAGCTGCGGATGGCACATTCGAGGCTCCGTGACCAAAGTGACTTGCACGCAACAAATCTCCAGTGACTTGCACGCAACATTATCCTTGCAAATGTCACGTTCCCTTTCCTTTTTGTATGTGCTTACGGCCATATCCTGCTCCTCCCCATAGTCTCTACATATTATGAATCTTTTGCTCACATAGTGCAACCATACCGTGTAACAACTCTCGCCAGTATAATATATAACCACCTTCAGGGATGTGTCGTTATGCCGACATTGAATTTGGTCCATCAGTCTATAAGTGCAAACCTACCGGTATTGAGCAATAACACTCTTGGGTTCGTGAAAGACTTGCACACGTGGACAATGCGCTCGATGGAAGCCACGTCAATAATGCCGTGCGTGTCTGGCTCTCGCCCAGGCCTCAGCAGAGGGCAAAGCGTCTGTGGACACACCCCCTCCTCTTCGTAATACTTCACGAACACGTATGCCCCCTCCTCCCCGCTGGTATTCACTCCCCTGAAAATACAGAGACACCTAGCATACCACCACTCCTCCTCCTCCTCCTTCGACGCCGGCATAGCGATGTCGCTAAACCAATTCTCCTTCGGGCTTGCCTTCACAAACATCGCCTTCGGTACCAAATATCCCCCCTTCGTGCTCGGGATGGCCACTGCGTTGTGCACCTGCAGTTAATGTTTGGATGTATGTCATGGACACATCCTCGCATGTACGGAGAGTAAGGACGTGTGGCACATACGAGCGCACACCCACAAATTATGACGGTGGTCAACAAATGGATGTTATTAAGCATAAGACCACTCACCAACACACGAGTGGTTTGAAGGCCTTCCGCAGCCATGAGTGTCCTCATGGT